GCCACAAAGGAAACATATTAGCATTCTCAACCGGTGATGCTAATACAAACTAATAACAGCAACAACAACAAAAGCTAATGGCAATGCTAATAACAAATGACCCTAGAAAAGAATGGAAAAGGAGGGTTTTTTAAAAATATGTATGGAAAATAGAAGGGATTCTAGGTAGTGCTCCTTTATGCCCTTTGTTTTTTCTGGAGAACGCCTTCCCTGCAGGTGAAGGTCAAAGATCCCTGAGCTCCTTCCTTCCGAAACTAGGGCACGCAGATCACCTGCACACCTCCGTAAGCGCCGAGTCTGATGTGTACCAGGTCTGGGGTGGAGACCAGGGGTCTGCCTTTCTAACCTGCTCCTCGGGGACTCGCTGCTGCAGCTGGTCCAAGGGCCACAGTTCGACCAGCCAATCCCAAGTAGAAAAAACGCTATTACATTAAGTGGGAAGCAGGGTCAATGGAAGTCAAGCCCCTTCCTCCAGGAGGCAGGCCAGTAAAGGCCAGCTGGGCTGCGTGAGGCTCCAGTTAAGAAAACTGGGGGATCTCGGAGAAAGTGCTGGAGTAGAAAAGGATTGCAGCAGCCGAGCAACAGCTGGGCCAGCCTGTGTGCAAAAGCCCAGCCCTGAGGACAACCAAGTGCTTCTGACCTGACCACAGGGGCTGAGCGAAAAAGAGCAGTAGCTTATCTTACCATTAGAAAGGCGAGGCAAATGGTTTATGGTTACAGAAAAATCCAGTCCCTGCCTCTCTAGTTATAAATCGTTTACTATTCTGTAAAATAAAAAAAGTAATATTCAATCAGGTAGGGTGATATGATGAAAGAAACAACTATGTATAAAGCACATTAGCTATTATTCTGAGCATTGCCACACTGACTACTTTGGAGTGAAGAGGAAATCATGTTGAATAGGTTTTCTGGAAACTTCCTCAATACTGAAGTGAGAACAAATGAACTATTGTAAGACGTCCTAGACTCAGGAGGTGGTCCTCTTGGATGCCAGACTGCCCCACGCAGCGTGTACTGTTAGTTAAAAAGCAAGTTCAGGGAGGACACACCTCTCCAAAAAGACAGGAATAAAACAACTAGGTGACAATCCACTTTCAGTCGGAGGGTAGTAATTTAAAATAAAGCTGTTAAACAGCCGGTGTTTTCACTTTAATTTTATTTTTTAACCGTTGAACTGGCTAGACTGGAGAACGATGTCGGACCCTCCTCCATGACTAGACTGGGAATGATTGGATACTTCCCAACAGGAAGAACTGTAGCCATGCAGACCAACGAACTCCTCCCCCATTTCCCGTCTGGCAACATTGTCCTGCTTTCTCAGCGAGCTTCCATTCCCTGCCCTTTATCTTCACGCTTCGTTCTTGCATTGCGTCTGCAGTGAGAGGCAGCGTCCCCGAGTTACTCGGGGTGACGGAAAGTCACCTACTTCCTTCCAGTTCTTTCCCAGCGTCACTTCTGGATGCAAACGTACAGATGCGCCGGCACCTTGCAACACTCCCTTCCGCGCCCGGACACGTTGACCTAAGTAAAGTGCAAGGGCGGCATTTTCTATCATCCTTTTTAGGCGCGAAAAAGAATTGTGTCATTGTTGAAAACTGCAACTTCATTTCAACGAATGGGAATGCAGATTTGGAACTCTTGTGTTCTGATTGGACAGAGCTAATTATTTTGACTTTGCTCTGAATACCCACCAATCAGACACAGGCTTCTAGGTTAGCACCTTATTTGCATTTCAAGTTCTATATAAAAAAGGACACGGAGTGCCCTGCCGTTATTCCTCTTAGCAGTTTCCTTCCTCTCGCTACCATGCCGGAGCCCGCCAAGTCCGCGCCCGCCCCGAAGAAGGGCTCCAAGAAGGCGGTGACCAAGGCCCAGAAGAAGGACGGCAAGAAGCGCAAGCGCAGCCGCAAGGAGAGCTACTCGGTGTACGTGTACAAGGTGCTCAAGCAGGTGCACCCGGACACGGGCATCTCGTCCAAGGCCATGGGCATCATGAACTCCTTCGTGAACGACATCTTCGAGCGCATCGCGGGCGAGGCGTCGCGCCTGGCGCACTACAACAAGCGCTCGACCATCACGTCCCGGGAGATCCAGACGGCCGTGCGCCTGCTGCTGCCTGGGGAGCTGGCCAAGCACGCGGTGTCCGAGGGCACCAAGGCCGTCACCAAGTACACCAGCTCCAAGTAGACTCGCGGGCAAGCCGCTTGTCTCCCAACCACAAAGGCTCTTTTAAGAGCCACTCATGTTTTCATATAAAGAGCTGCGCGCTAGCTTGGCCACAGCGATTTCTGAAAATCCTGCTGTAGGTGCTCGGGGCGTCCCGTTGGTGTCGCTGCGGCCCGCGGCCCTGGTTCCTTTGTGTAGTCTAATCACTTCCTCTTTCCCCGCCCTCTGCCTGAGGCCGTTTCGAGTCCTGGCTAAGCGTCTTTATCTCGGGTTAAACTGGTTAGGGAACTTCAGCTCCAGGGAGGGAACAATCGTTACTGCAACTTTGTTTTTCTTCCCCAACTTTTAATAAGATGCTGGAAATTAGCGTTTTTTAGTGGCAAAGCATACAATCTACACTCGCTAGTTGGTTTCACAAACTAGGCCCCCCCCCCCCCAAAAAAAAAAAACAAAAACCCAGTGTTAGGTCTTTTCACTAAACTGGCTCTGCAGCCTCTAATGCGTCCTTCACTCTCTGGGTCACTTGAGTTCCCTTTCGAGCCCATCCCCTGTGCTGCCTCCAGGTCTCTGCTGCTCTCAGCTCACCGTCTCCTTAACCCTGGCCAGGAAGAGAGAGGGGCCCGGGGTCGGTGAGGACGTGCAGGGGAAGAAGGATGGGGGAGTGGGAGATGCTATTCCGCGTTCGTGTGCCGGACCCTGAGGCCTGGAGGCCTACAGTTTGTGACCACATAATGCCAAGGAGGCTCGGCCCAAAGATATAAGCCTCGTGACTTCCCTACCCTCAGCTGGGAACTGAGGCCTAGTCATCCTCTCGGAAGAGAAGATAGGGGACAAAGGTTTGGTTATCAGCACCACACCCATAATGTGATAACATTCAATGTAGCAGGAAGCACCCATCTCTAGGCAGTCTCCCCAGCCTGTCTGTCCGGGCTCCCTCTGTTATCTCAAAAAGGGAAATAAGCACAAAGGCACAAGCTGTTGTTTTTCAGGTTACCAAATCATAAGTGCCTTTCAACTCTTCTGGTCACCTGGAATTTATTCGAGCTTAATTAGCCCTGACAGTCCTGTCCTAGAGAATCTAGTTTCTATTCCAGGCACCGTGCCTTTTAAAAAGCATTCCTGGTCCTTTATTATCCCTGCCCAGAGCCTTTCGATGACACCCCACACACACACACACACACACAGGCCCCACCCCATGCAGATGCAGAAATTGTAGTAAGTAAGGTCTCAGGCCCGAGTCTGGCCCACACACATGTAACTCAAAGCCAGCCTCAGAGGATCCTTTTTCTCCTGTTTGTTTTTTGTTTCTCTGTTATCCTTGTTTTACCTTTGTTTTTGTTTGTTTTCTCACTGTTTGGGGGGGATTTGAACCCCTCCAGCCTTCAGTCCTTTGTGGTTTTTCTCTGCCTGAAATGCCCCTGGTTCCACATCCAACCCCTTTCCCCGCCTCTACACACAGCTTATTCACCAGCTCCCAGTGCTACTTACTTACTCATGTTCTTGGCAAAGCTGTCCTTCACTGTTCAGGGCCCTCCCTGCCCCTGAGGGCTGGCTGGGTACTCAGCCCCACACTCGGGGTTACTACGGAGCAGGGGACCAGGAGGGCTGGTGGGGTTGGGTCAGGAGTGGATCCCTGAGGCTGCAGCGGACTCTGCCTTCCCTGGAGCACAAGGTGGGAGAGAGATGAGTGGACCCGGTGCTGTATAAGAGGAGGAGGGCAAATGGCCACTGGGGAGATGCCTGCAACTGCCCGGAGCCTTCTGGGCAGCCGGACAGCTTCCACGAGGTTCACTCGTTTAACTGACAAGCACTGCATTACATCCTGAGGATCTAGGGCAGTGGTCCCCAAACCAGACTGCGTCGGGATCACCTGGTGGGGGGGCTTGTTTGAAGCACAGACAGCGGGTCCCTCACCCAGACTTCCTTCCATTGGGAACTTGGCTTTCTCTAAGTTCTCAGAACACATAGGTGCTGCCCACCCAGTACTATGCTCTGAGAACGTGATATATGGAAAAGAACAAGCTGACCATCGCTGCTGTAGGTATATGAGCCCCGTGAAATGTCTATGTCTGTATGTGTAGTTTTCAACGGATTCTCAGAAAGGTTTGATCCACATTGTCAAGAACTACGCTTCTAAAGAGACATTACTTTAAAACTTCCAGATTCCGAGTGCCTAGGACATACATATAGTCCACCCCTCCGTCCCTGACATGTAATGAGTCCTGGGGTTCTGTGCAGTGTGGACACAGAAGTACCAAGGAAGAAGCTCATTTGGTATCAGGTTTCCTTAAAAGAAACTTCAGGCTAATAGCCCATCCTGTCTAAACAAAGAATTGAAAACCACGTTTAGAAAAGTTAAGCCACTATTACAAAGACTCAACAACAATGTAGCTGTTACTCTGGTCCCACTGGAACATCCCTGATTCGTCCAACTCTGTGGGGAAGACATGTGCCCCCTGGCCATTCAGTAACTCGCGTTCCACACAAGGGTTGTTCTACCACCTCTCGGGCCTGCTGTCCTCAGGCCGGGCGACACCCAGCACCTTCCTACCTTGGGAACGGTTTTTAACCCCCGGTCTGAGTGACTCCTACCCGAGGTTTGTGTAATACTTATCCACACCTATGCTTAAAGTCAAGACACACCTTACTTGAAAAAAACACTAATCTACACTCTTCTACTTTTAAAACCTTACTATGCTGATAGTACATAGCAAATACAAACTGACTTACTGCTATGAATTTAAACGTGGAGAAGTGGGAAACAAAAATGTCAAAGTAATTAAGCCACCATCAACAGCACCACACCCCACGACTACAGAAAAAACACCGTTAAGTGTCATGAAGTGACAGCTCTTTTTATTGAGCGGATATGTGGCCCTAAAAAGGGCCTTTGGTTTTGCTTTATAAGCGAGCTAGCGGGTGTCTCAGCCGCCGAAGCCGTAGAGGGTGCGGCCCTGGCGCTTGAGCGCGTAGACCACGTCCATGGCGGTGACCGTCTTACGTTTGGCGTGCTCCGTGTAGGTGACGGCGTCCCGGATCACGTTCTCCAGGAAGACCTTGAGCACCCCGCGGGTCTCCTCGTAGATGAGGCCGGAGATGCGCTTCACGCCGCCGCGGCGGGCCAGACGGCGGATGGCGGGCTTGGTAATGCCCTGGATGTTATCACGCAGGACTTTACGGTGGCGTTTGGCGCCACCTTTGCCAAGACCCTTTCCGCCTTTGCCACGACCAGACATGGTGAGATCAAATGCTAAGCCTGCAATGCAGTGCTGTTGCTTACCCAGCTCGCATTTTTATAGCAACTCGTCGGACCTGATTGGAAACCGCAAAAACAGGGGCGGTGACCAACTCAGTTCCAGCTCCTCGTTCATTTGTCCTTGCTCGGAGCTGCCGAGACCCGGAAGCAAGGCTGAATCTTGGAGTTGGCATTTAATAAATGCTTCTATACTTGGGCATATATGTGTTCGCATACAATACTCGGAGCTATTAAGTGCGATCTTTTATATACATTCCACAGAGAAGCTTAACACTTGTACTTCAGATTTTCCAAAATATGAAATAGTGATTTAATGCCTGTCGTTCTTTACAAGACACTTAAATGAGCTAACCTATGCAAATTGTTTAACTTCTGTAAATAGACAGTCAACATTAATTATACCTCTTTTCGGTACACACCCTTCTAAGACGATGAACCTGACAAGAGTATCCTAATTTGCGAAACCTTCTGTGGGGCTGTGAAAAAAAAGTAATTTTCTTCCAAGCTCTTCTAGCTGGGCTAATAAAAGCGGCAGATTAGGGAGAGAAAATCAAATTTAAATACACATATATGGGGAATTCCTGTAAGAATGAGAATTCCAAAGACAGGCAAAACGAGACATATGTGTCATTTTGGAGAAAGGAGGAAGGGGGAGGGGTCTGGGATTTCAAAGGGGGAAATAGGCAACCTAAGGCAGTGAAAGTGGGGGAAAATCTTGTTAGAGAACTCAGAAGCAACGGTACAGAGGAAAATCCGGTGAGCGGATTTCGGCATGGATCCCTTCTGTCTATCATCCTTAACTCATAAGAGCTAAAGTGAATGTGGTAAGACAATCATGATAATGCTTCCTTCACGAAGCAGATTTTTACTTATAATGAGATTTAAAATTAGAAAGAAACTCTTCTGACTTTGTTGGGCTTTAATGATTTCAGCTGCAAATTATCTGTGTGCCAAGATGGCGCACTTCACGGAGGCCCCTTCCTGAACCCTACACTTGTTCTGAGAACAACTCAAAATGATAAGTACTTGAATAATTAATTCATCATTCATTCTGTTGGGGAGGTCAAGTGGACTTTGGGTAGCCTTGGCTTTCCTCCATGGTCTGTGTTAGGCAGGATAGAGAGCAAACCAAGGCAGAGAGGGGGGAGGAGACCTGTCTCACTCATTTGTTCAGCAGACCAGAGCCTGGGCAGATAGGATTGCCAGGCATTCTGAACATCACGAGAGAAATTACGATAGTGCAGGAGGAGGCGAGCCATTGAAATCTGCGTGTATCGTTTCCTCTCTCTGGAAAAGAAAGACTTTGAAACTGTGTATTAATCCCAAGGTCTAGAGAGGGGAGGGGGAAGGGGAACCTACAAGCTGGCTGTAAGCACACATCCCCTAGAATCCCAGCCACAGGGGCACTCTGACCAGCCGGGTGCCGACTCGCAGCTCAGCTGTTTTTCATAAACACACCTGCTATGTAACTTGCACCATACATGCTGTCTCTCACCGAATTCTTCTCTCACAAGCGAGACAAAACAGGGGAGCAGGAGTCCTTTAACTTGGGCCCTCCCGTTAACAGTTTGTAAGGAGGACCAAGCTCAACAAAGCTGCTCTGTGAGTTGTGGGACACAAATCCCAGAGTGGAGTTCTTCAGCGGGGATGCACACCGGGGTGCAGAGCACTTGGGCACTTGTGTAAAGAGAACAAAAACTTCATCGGTGTTTACTACCCTCCAGCTGATTGCTCATATTTCCTCTGTTTACAAAGCAGGCAGCACGCAGTGTGTTCGGCTGGGCCTGCGCTACCGTTACATGGCAATGCACTTCAGCTGTCTGTATCTCCAAATATCATTTAAATGTATCTCTCCCCATAAACTGTGGCAATCCTTGGTCATGTGCGTAATCTTGTGGTTTAAAGTATTGATAAAAAGCAAATATGTTAATACTTCACCAATTTGGAGTTTTTACTTCAATGACACTATTTTAACATAATGGCTTTTTCTTTGTAATCCTATGCCTACTTTCTTAAATGCTTACAAGTGTTACCCTGGGAATGGGCCCATACGCTTCCTCAGTTGTATGGAAAAGTCAAGGACACAAAGATAGCTGAGAATCCCTCTGTGGTTGAGCCCTGACAGCCGGGAGAGGCTCTGGATGTTAAGATCGAGCAGAAAGCAACAAGGCCAAGGCCACCTTGTAAGAATGAAACTCTCGTTAGCTTCAGAAGCCTAACGGAGGTGTAAGAAAAACGGCGATGATTTTTTTCCATTTATAAACAGTAAAGAGGTTATTTCCTTTCTCTACTTCCTTAGAGAGTTTTCTTGGAGAAAGAGTGAGTCTGAGTTTTCACTCTTCCCTTAGAAATTGAGAGAAAATTTTCTACAGATTCAGCCCCAACTTCAGTTTTTCACAGTGGAGAGGTCCCTCCTGGGTGGTGGGATGAATAATCGGCAGATGTGTGGCCTCTGGACTTAGGTGGGTAGTCTCTCAGAATAGACACGTACTGAAGATTGTCACAAGGTGTAGCCCGTCTCTGAAAATGATCACACATTTTTCTTTCTTCTGCTTTATAAGACATGTGAAATTCTTCCAACTGCGGTTACTTGTGTGCTAACTTACATGTATGTAAATCTGTTAATGTTTACTAAAAAAATTACGTTGTTTTATAAAGTATATTGATACAGAAGGGTCATTCTGTTGACAGAATTGTTTTCTTTCCCCAACATCTGAAGGGAGAAAGAGTCCAGTAGGTTCACAGTCCTTCATGACGTCTGATAGCAACAGGGTTGCAAAAACTCCAATTCCTCTGCCGATGTCAGTGCGGGGATTGATGCTCTGTAGGGAGAGGCGCTCTGGGCGGCCCAGAGCTCCAAGGCAGGAACTCACAACAGGCGATTTACTTTGTAATTGTTCTGCACCTTCAATGGAGACCCAGGCCCCACCCAGTGGGGTAGGGCTCTCATTCAATTTAAAATGAATAACGACAAGTGTTCAGCACTATTGTGTCAACAGTCCTGTGCAGAGCGTGGTAGCACAGAAAACAAGCATTTAGGCAGAAGCTACAATAGCAGAAGGCGGCCCTGGGATGGGATTCAGGACCCTCATGAGTCCTGGTTCCATAAAGATTCCCTGCATGTTATTGGTGCACGTTCCTATATAGAAAAGACTGCAGGCCGTATCTGCGAGATCAAACATCGTCCTGGTTGTTCGGTCTGCTAGGAAGATTTTGGAGTGGACGAGGGTGCAGATAACATGAAGAAATCAATAATAGCAGCTCAAAAGAGGGAGCAATTTCATCTAGTTTAAGGGATTGGAAATTGCGTATATAAACATTTCAAAGTATGTCATTGGTTTCACGTACACCTTGGCTTTAAAATAGGGCGAGGAGTGGGGAACAAAAACAAAAAAATCCTGAAAAAGTTACTCCAAAAGGTTACATGAACAGACCAACATCATGCAGCTTTTGAATGCAAAACCAGATTCAAATACATACCGCAGGTTAGAAAACCTCATGCTTGTTCCACTAAACCATGCTGCCAAAATGATGATTTAACATCTTCGCACTCTGTAGTTGGCGAAAGAATTCGAATGCCACACTGAAGTGCTTCTTAAATTAGAAAGCCAATGAAAGATGGGCCATATATGTTTGGAGCTCACTTGAGGAATATTCATTGACAGCCACACAGAGGATAAAATTAGAGAATGAGAGAAAGAAGCCCAGTAAGTGAGAAGAGCTGGTCCAGACAAGAAAGAGAGGGGCTAGAATTACAACCACGATGGAGAGAATGAAAGAGGAGCAGTGATTTTAGGAAGAGTGCATGGAACTTGGTGACAGACAAATGGAAGAATTGAAATGTTTTGGGGTTAGATAATGAAAGCATGGTGCTGTTGCCAAAAGATAGTATAAAGATATCAACGGAAGGTTATTGTTTGATTGGAAGCTACTTCGGTGAGGTCGCTCCTGTGGAGAGTCGTAGACATAGAGGAAGGTCTTCAGCAAGCACGCAGGTGAACGGGGAGGTACCTTGGAGATGTCCTGCACTCCGATGGCTGAGACACGGCTAGGACTTTGGCGGTGCTGCGGAAACTATAACGTCAACCCATTTTTTAAGGAATACAGTACGTGAACTCTGTAGCAAGTGAATACACACTGCACATGAAAATGATTTGTATTGACCTTATTTCTCTTCCCCTCTCATGCATTTGAGTCACAGTTTTAATTTCTATTAACTCATTAATTTTTTCATGTCTGAATTGGATGTTATGCATGAATAAACCAGTCATGTGTTGACTTTAATGGTATCAAGGAGAAAGCCTATGGGTTTTTGTTGTTGTTGTTTGGTCGTTTTTTCGCTTTGCTGTCGGATTCCAGCATTTTCTTTCACAGCCCTAGTGAAACACAGACTTGTGTGTGCTTCATGATGCCCATAATATGTTGAAGACGAACGTATAGTTTGAGGAGTGAAAAAAGGGGTCAAATCACTTTGTGACCAAGTTTACCACTTGGTATGTTCTATCCAGAAATGAGACATAGTTGTTGGTAGGTAGTTTCATTCACACACAGCAAGCAAGTCAAGGAGACAGGTGAATCACATCCAAGGCATTGTCTCCCTGAAGGGAGGCTTAGCCATTGCTTACATACAACAAAAATTAACTATTTAGTGAAGTGTATCTCGATTTCTATTTTTGCAGTTCATTTAACATGTGATTCTGGTCAAGCTCATTCAGTTACATCTGCAACTACAAAATACTGAGTTTTTCCACGTGTAGCAAAAATAGCATTTAGTGAGAATGGCCCAGACATCGATGCCCTTGTCCTATCTAACTTCTCTGCCATCGATCCATTTTTTACTCACCGTAAAGCACAAGCTGTAATGTGTTTCCTATACAGGTATATCTTTCCTTAAATAAGAATTTGAGTTGTAAATATAACGCATGCTTGTTTTGAAATGTCCTTGTCGTGAGGAAATTCTGAATGTGTGTGAGCTATGTATTATTCCTCAATGGTGTTATCATGTGAATCCTTTGATAAAACATGGGTTCCCCAAGCTTGGCAAACTTCTGTACCCCCAAAGCTGGTGAACATTAGAATAACTGACGTCCTCTAAGAAAACAGGAATTTTTTAACCCATAAAAGGATCCAACTGTCTTTTGTGCCCCTCCCTGAAACTACTCTGCTTCAGTTACTGCCACAACCATAGGACCCTCACAAGACAATCATGGAATATTCCACATCCCATTTTCCTAATTAAATGTTGACTGCTAGAAGCCAAACATTACCTAGCCCTGCAAATAGTCAGAAAAAGCTATGATAAAGCTTTTTTTCAGACAAAATAAAGGCTTTTCTTATTTGGAATTGTGGTTATTACAAGCATCCTTTAGTATGGATCTTGCAGAGAAATCCTTTAAGAGCCTGTGTTATTTCCCCTCATATGAAAAAGATATTCTAGGCAAATCTCAATGAGAATAAAGCAGTTCTTGAAATGTATGAGAAGCCAAGAAAGTATAAAACATTATTAGAGAGCAAGATATTGAAGACACAAAGGGAAACATTTATAATTTAAACAAAAATCAACAAGTTGACTCTCTGACATGCGAATCTCTCACAGTGTCGGGGGGTTTTGACAATTGCTGAGACCGAGGCGATACTAACCAGGAGGGAAAATTATGACAGTCTCAAAGCTTGAGCTGTTCCTGTGCATTGTACAGCAGAATTGGTGCGATTCCTCGGCCAGAAATTTTAATTTTGCAGCTTTCTTGGATTGAAACAAACACAGCCCTGGGCCCGAGCTGAGCCTGCAAGGCCTTCAGGGAGGAAGAGCGAGTGTGAACCAATCAGCGCGCGGCGCCGCCGTGTGTTTATATAGACGCGCTCCTGGGCTTGGCTGCTGAATTGGGAGACTTTACTTTTTTACTCTCAGGAATCGGCACCAACAGCCATGGCTGAAACCGCTCCCGTCGCGCCACCCGCTCCCGCTGCGGAGAAGGCTCCGGTGAAGAAGAAGGCCAGCAAGGCGGCCGGCGCCGCCAAGCGCCAGGCGGCCGGGCCACCTGTGTCCGAGCTCATCACCAAGGCCGTGGCCGCCTCCAAGGAGCGCAGCGGCGTGTCGCTGGCCGCGCTCAAGAAGGCGCTGGCGGCCGCGGGCTACGACGTGGAGAAGAACAACAGCCGCATCAAGCTGGGCCTCAAGAGCCTGGTGAGCAAGGGCACCCTGGTGCAGACCAAGGGCACCGGCGCCTCGGGCTCCTTCAAGCTCAACAAGAAGGCGGCCTCCGGCGAGGTCAAGCCCAAGGCCAAGAAGGCGGGTGCGCCCAAGCCCAAAAAGGCTGTTGGGGCGGCCAAGAAGGCCGCAGGGTCCGCCACCCCCAAGAAGAGCGTCAAGAAGACCCCGAAGAAGGCGAAGAAGCCGGCGGCGGCTGCAGGAGCCAAGAAAGTGACCAAGACCCCGAAAAAGGTGAAAGCGGCAAAACCCAAGAAGGCGGCCAAAAGTCCAGCCAAGGCCCCTACTAAGCCCAAGGCGGCCAAGGCAAAGTCTGCCAAACCTAAAAAGGCTGTCCCCCAGAAGAAGTGAGCATTGAGACTGTCTGATAATACAAAGGCTCTTTTCAGAGCCACCCAGATAATCTGGTAAAGAGCTTGTGATGCCACTTACAGTGGGGGGGGGGGGGGCGCGGTGAGTGTTTCCAGCTTTCTGGTTCCTAGCGGGTCTGTATAGTAACACAGGCAAGTACTGCGCACAAATAACGTTTACCAGAAAAGGCAGTTGGCGCTACAAAGAGCCTTTATGTCCAAGGTTACCACTTAGGTAGCTTTTCACGCATCAGTTTACGCTGCAGACAAGCCAGGTGATTACAAGCGTGCAGTAGATTGGGATTCAGTGCTATGCATGAGAATTTGTGTACCATTAGGGAGTAGAAAGATGCAAACAAACCAGCTTCCAGGTAAGGAAATAAAGCTGTTCAGAGCCATGACGATTAATCACTTTCCATTGTAATGATTACAGGGTTACTTTTATTGTCCTTCCCCACAACTATCCCCAGTATTGATTCATTTCCTGCCATTGCACCTTTAAAATTACATTTTTAAAGGTGCCAGAGTGCTGGCCATGTGAGTAGGAGCCAACCCTTTCAGTAGTCAGGTTGAAATACAGTAATGTTACTATCACTTGCAAGTTTGACTAAGGGTAAAATCACTACGCTAAGGTGTTGGGTGGTTTTTTAATTAATTTTTGGGTTGTGAGAATTTACTCCACCAAACCTGAAGCTTTGTGTAGAAAAAGCTGCAGAGCTATTTGAAAGTTGGTGTTCACCAATCGCCCCAAGACAGATCCCTTTATGAATTGTGGGTGGCAAATGGAGTTAACAAAACCCTTTATTTGCAAGATGTTATTTTTCCTATTTCCGCCCTTGTGGGAAACTGGAGCTGTGGTCTCAAAGGTTCCCGGTGAGTTAGGAACAATTCGGTTTAAACTGTGCCACATACAACCTGCCTTGATTACGTCTTCTGGCAAAGTATAGATATCAAGGACAAGACTGCAACTATTTGCTGCGCACTGTTAAGTGGTACGGGGAACTAAATACTACACTTTTCCTACAGCTCTAATTGGAATTTTGGGTGGCTCTGAAAAGAGCCTTTGGGTTCAAGGTCACCACACGCTGAGAGGACAGCTTACGCCCGCTCCCCGCGAATACGGCGCGCGAGCTGGATGTCCTTGGGCATGATGGTGACGCGCTTGGCGTGGATGGCGCACAGGTTGGTGTCCTCGAACAGGCCCACCAGGTAGGCCTCGCACGCCTCCTGCAGCGCCATGACGGCAGAGCTCTGGAAACGCAGGTCAGTCTTGAAGTCCTGGGCGATCTCGCGCACCAGGCGCTGGAAGGGCAGCTTGCGGATCAGCAGCTCGGTGGACTTCTGGTAGCGGCGGATCTCGCGCAGAGCCACCGTGCCCGGGCGATAGCGGTGCGGCTTCTTGACGCCGCCTGTGGCCGGCGCGCTCTTGCGGGCCGCCTTGGTGGCCAGCTGCTTGCGCGGGGCCTTCCCGCCGGTGGACTTGCGCGCTGTCTGCTTAGTCCGGGCCATTTCAAACGGCAGAGGAATGAAGATGCATCCCCTGCACCGGTGTGTGTATATATAAGGCAAGTCCAGCGCTTATTGGGAGAGGCATCTGTCTATCAAGCTCGAAGTGAAAGTATTGGAAGCCAGGTCCCCTCCTTGATTGCTGGAACTTCCGGCAAAATTAACATCTTCCTGTTATCCACCCCTTCAGCAAGGCATTTCTACCCTTCCTTGCATCTTGTGTCTGTATACCTTTTCTTCGCAAACTGTACCTTTTTCCCCTCGCAGATTGCTGCAATTATGTATCTTGTTTGCTTAATAAAATTTTTAAATTTTGCACCTGAAACTAATTATTTTGAAAAGGCGCGCACCAGGTGGGGTTGGTCAAGTGATTCTTTTTAATCTCATTGAAGTTTAGGAAAGCTAGAGTCAGATCTATTTCTCCGTTTCCATGTTCTAACGTAGAGATCTTTATTTTTTCCTGAGTTTACACCTCTTTAAATATTCTGTTTCGATATACTTTTTGTAAATGCTCCAAGAACACTGAAGTAATTTCATTTGGTATTTTAACTATGGCAACATACATTGTCATATAAAGACTACGCCTTACACTTTCGAACGAGGTTTGCGTAGAATGCAGTTAAAAAATACTCCAGCTTTCAAACGATACGAAAAGATTACTTAAAGCTTTTTTAAAGTTACCCTAACCTCTGAAAAGACCCGCCTAAAGAACCTGACTCGGAGGCATGTGTTACTGCTTTTTTATTTACAATTGCCTGGGGCCCAGCAGAGTTGGGGATAATGATGCAAAACACAGATCAAAGAAGTCTGAAGAATGGTTTCCTTGCCGCTCATTTACTAAATTTGCTGTAACTATGTATCTTAAACCAAGCCTCGGTGGTTTTCATTTATTTGGCTAACTTTCGCGTTTATTGCACTTCCAAGTTGATGGTTAACTTCGAGTTTATGGGGTTATTTAAGTACCGACGTCTACTAGCAAAGCACAGTAAATTTCAGTTTCAACTACTTGCATAAAAAAAAAAATGCAAGCCCTTTCAGTAAAAAAGTTAGTGGCTCTGAAAAGAGCCTTTGGTTTCAACTTGTTGGCGCCGCTGCAGGCTTTTACTTGCCCTTGGCCTTGTGGTGGCTCTCGGTCTTCTTGGGCAGCAGCACGGCCTGGATATTAGGCAGCACGCCACCCTGCGCGATGGTCACCTTGCCCAGCAGCTTGTTGAGCTCCTCGTCGTTGCGGATGGCCAGCTGCAGGTGGCGCGGGATGATGCGCGTCTTCTTGTTGTCGCGCGCCGCGTTGCCCGCCAGCTCCAGGATCTCGGCCGTCAGGTACTCGAGCACTGCCGCCAGGTAGACGGGCGCGCCGGCCCCGACCCGCTCGGCGTAGTTGCCCTTGCGGAGCAGGCGGTGCACTCTGCCGACTGGAAACTGGAGACCAGCGCGGGAGGAGCGTGTCTTGGCCTTGGCGCGCGCCTTGCCGCCCTGTTTTCCACGTCCAGACATTTTTCTTAGGACTTGAACACTAAGCAGATGATCAAGTGAAAAGTGCCACGGCAAGAACTCTTATAATCATTTTTGGCACCGCAAAAGGAAATATTTTATTGGTCAAGATAGTAACTTCATTTTAACAAATGAAAATGCACATTTGTGATTCTTGCGTTCTGATTGGACAGAACTAATTATCTTGACGTTGCTCTGAATAGCCACCAATCAGAGACTAATTTCTAGGTTAGCACCTTATTTGCATTTCAGGTTCTATATAAATAAGGACACGGCGTGGTCTGCCGCTACTTTTTCTCTTGGTAGGTTCTTTTCTTCCGTGACCATGCCTGAACCAGCCAAGTCCGCACCCGCCCCGAAGAAGGGCTCCAAGAAAGCCGTGACCAAGGCGCAGAAGAAGGACGGCAAGAAACGCAAGCGCAGCCGCAAGGAGAGCTACTCGGTGTACGTGTACAAGGTGCTCAAGCAGGTGCACCCGGACACGGGCATCTCATCCAAGGCCATGGGCATCATGAACTCCTTCGTGAACGACATCTTCGAGCGCATCGCGGGCGAGGCGTCGCGCCTGGCGCATTACAACAAGCGCTCGACCATCACGTCCCGGGAGATCCAGACGGCCGTGCGCCTGCTGCTGCCTGGGGAGCTGGCCAAGCACGCGGTGTCTGAGGGCACCAAGGCCGTCACCAAGTACACCAGCTCCAAGTAGACTCTGCGGGGAAGCCGCTTGTCTCCCAACCACAAAGGCTCTTTTCAGAGCCACTCATGTGTTTATGTAAAGAGCTGCGTACTGGCATGACCATCAGTGAGCATTACTGCCAATATTTAGGAGAACGTCACCGAGCGTCCGGGCTGTAGAGTGTCTGTACAACTTTGTCTGATCTAGGGGGACCCCAGGGTGTAAGCCTACACGTGTCTAGAAGCCTTGGCTGTCTCTCCAGTTCTCTGAGCTCACCTTTAAAAATTTGCGAAGGGGCTGTGTGGTCTGGTTGCGGTGTTCCATGGAGCTGAGGGTTGGACCCTGACATATTTGGTCTTTTTTTTTTTTTCATCTCAGCGTCATCTCAGCGCCTCAAGAGGCCCAGCTACTTTAGATAATCCGGCTCTAGAAGAGGAATGTCCTCTAGGTGTCGCTGTGGTTCTTCGGCCGCGTTTCTTTGTGTGGCCTAATTTCCCCCCCCCCCCCCCGCCCTTTTCCTGAGGCCATTAGAGTCCTGGGTAAGGGCTTTCTCCAAGCGTCTTAACTCGGAACGCAAGGGCTCTTTCAACCCAGAGTTGAATGCACTGTTCTCTCAGGACAATGTGACACCTGAATATGATGAGCCATGGTCCGTTGGAGAACATCTACAGGGCGGCACACGTACTCAGCCCAGTAAGCCATTTCTCTGACCCAGGGACTCCCTGAATCTTTGCATTTTCTATGGCAAACCGGCTGCAGAGGTGCACACCAAACTTCATTTGCAGACACTCCCAGGCAAAGCTTGGGGATCTGGAAGGGGAGGGTGACAAGAGGGAGCTCTGGTTTCTGCATCAGCTCCGGTCTCAGTTCCTGGTGCAACGGTTGGCCCGAGTGCCCTGCTTGGGCCTTTCCCCTGAGTCACTGCTCCACTCCCGGCATCAGCGCCTCCCCTGAGTTCTGAGCCTGGTGTCTACCGTTACTCCTTCTCATTATCGAGATTTTAATGACTACCATTTGTGTGTGGAGCTCTCCACCCTGAAGCAGGGTGCAGAAAGAACACCAGCTCTAGTTTGGCCTGTTCCAACACACCTGTGTGACGTTTATTTAATTATGTTTGTAAAAATAACCAGTAATGCTTTGCGGGGTTTTCTTCGTTGTTTGTTTCTGAATGGACATGCCCGTGGACACCCGGGCACCAAGCGTCCTTGATTTAAAGAGCTATTTCTACTTCTGAAAGAGTTTGCTTATGGGGCTCCTCTCACCGTCGGGCACTTTGAGAACAATAGGAGACACTTTCCTGCTCTCCAGGAAGGCACGGTCCCGAGAGGGTTGACCACCATCAGGGGGGGAAAGTGTCCATACCAGCAGAGTGAAGTGCAGGCTCCAAGTACGCAGGGGGCTTCACCTGCCAGCGCGACCACGCCCTCCTGTTAGGCTGACCTGGGACATGTGAAAGGTGAACTGGAATACACCAAGGAAAGAAATGTAGCCTGGTGCTAGGGAGAGGAGAACATCTTTGGAAATCTACGTCTTAAAATGGTAAGAAACCTATAGATTTCTATAAATTTGACTTTGCATTCTACGTAGACATCTTTGAAAGATCATAGCATCGGAAGACATCGGCTGGAAGTCCGGTTCTGCCAGGTAAATAACTTCGGTTCTCACAGACTGTTTTTTATTTGCAAAATGACAATATTACTAAACTCAACTTTGCTGACACTTTTGTTAATACACATACAATACTTATGATAAATTTAAATACTTTAGGGATATGTAGAATTCAAGAAGTTATTTATAGACATTTTATCATTACTTCTATACATTAGCTATAATGGAGGCCAGGCTTTTGAAGTAGCATTATCATCAGAAGTAATAATAATACTGCAGCAAGTAGATAAAATGTTTTTCCCTGAAATTAGACTTTCTGTGGTTATAGCCAGACATTCCAGACACTAGTGAAAAAAAAAAAAAAGGCAGTGTAAATTGCAACTGTTAAAATTAGAGCAATTACCAAATTCTGTGAGCCCTGAAATATTTAGAAATAATTTACATGCATCTATACTGATTTTGATATTTACACATTTAATTTTAAATCTATAGTTCTATTTAAAACCTGTGAATACATTAGGTAATAACTTCAATTTACATAAGTGTATTAATTTCCTATTTCTGGTCTGGTGAATTATTACAAATGTGGTGAAATGCACACTGGCTATTTTATAGGACTTAGATGAGCGTTGGAACCAGGGTCGCACTGAAGCCAAATCAAGGAGTCAGCAGGTTGCATTCCTCCCTGGGGCTGTAACGGGGGCTTGTTTGTCTTTTCTAGCTCCAGGAGCCCATCCTGCGTCCTTAGCTCATGGGCCCCCCCGCTTCTCACAGCCCAAAGCCAGCCCTCTAGTTCTCTGTTCTGATTCCCTCCTTCACGGTTAAGAACCTCTGTAACCACACTGGGTTCACTTGGATAATCTCTCTATTTTACATTCAGGCAATTACCCACTTCAGTTTCAACTGCACCTTGATTGCCTTTGTCTTGTGATCCAACATATCAGAGTTCAGAGACCAGGTGGTAATTGGATGACATCATTCTGCGCTGCACACTAAGATACGTATATTTAGAATTTGAAAGAAACGTATACACAGTTCTGTCTGCTCCGGGGGTGGGGAAGAACTGGTGGGTGCTCTCACTGTTGGACATAATTTCGGGGAAATCCTGTTGAAGGCCAGATAGACTTGCTTAAGGCATATTTAAGGGGCAATGGAAAGCAAAACTGACTTGTTAATATCTCTCATTGAGTACAGCTATTGGTTTATTTTTTGGTTTTTATTTTTACATGTCTTGCTTCTGTAGTTCTGTGGGAGTGTTTACACATTGATTGTTGGTGTGCACATATGTGCCGTGTAGAAAGTGGGAAATTTATTATTCAAGAAACTACACGAGAATGTACGGGATATTATTGCAGTTTTCCTACCTGATTTGAAATTCTACCACTATGTCGTAGGTACATGCACAGCATTTATTCCACATGGGATTCTGCACATGGCAAGTTACAACCTTCAATAGATTCGTAATCATCCATCCAAAAGTGTAAATTTTCACTATCACATATGCCTACAGAGTGCAGGAGAGTGAAGGTGTTTCAACCAGAATAACATAGTTCTTTCTATGTAAAAAGTGAAATGTTTGCTGACTAGGATAAAAATAAATATAAAAATTCCACCCTGGGGAAAACAGTAACATAATTTAAAGGGGAGGCATCAAAGTACCTTTACGAGTCATTCTTTCCTGGACTTTTACTACCACAAGCTACAATGTGGTATTTCACCAATGTGCTCAGCATTCAAAACATATTAAAGAATTTTTCATTGAAACTAAGAGGCTCTATCCTGGAACCCGTGACATCCCTTCTTGACTTTCGTGCACACTAATTGCCCAATTCCTTTTGTGTTTAGACGTTACATTGTTGCTTTATGCATATCCACCCACTAGAAGTGTGCAATGTGGTTCCCATTACACTGGAATTATAACTTACATTTAGGATTAACAAGCTGAAGCCACTTGAGTTCATGGAACCACGTAAGATGCAGGATGTTACTGCATGTCAGTCCTTTATAGGCAGCTTTGTAGCCATAGTCAGAGTTGGAAAAAAAACTAGCCTAAGGTGAAAGTGCCCCTCTTCCAAGTTTCAAGCTGCAAGCACCACACAGCAGCAAGACACTTAAACCAGCACAGTCACTGTTAAAGTCTTTACAACTCTTATGCTGAAAAAGTGGGTGGCTCTGAAAAGAGCCTTTGTGGTTGGGAGACAAGCGGCTTCCCCGCAGAGTCTACTTGGAGCTGGTGTACTTGGTGACGGCCTTGGTGCCCTCGGACACCGCGTGCTTGGCCAGCTCCCCAGGCAGCAGCAGGCGCACGGCCGTCTGGATCTCCCGGGACGTGATGGTCGAGCGCTTGTTGTAATGCGCCAGGCGCGACGCCTCGCCCGCGATGCGCTCGAAGATGTCGTTCACGAAGGAGTTCATGATGCCCATGGCCTTGGACGAGATGCCCGTGTCCGGGTGCACCTGCTTGAGCACCTTGTACACGTACACCGAGTAGCTCTCCTTGCGGCTGCGCTTGCGCTTCTTGCCGTCCTTCTTCTGGGCCTTAGTCACGGCCTTCTTGGAGCCCTTCTTCGGGGCGGGGGCGGACTTGGCTGGTTCAGGCATTTCTGTAGAAAAGGAAACAAAGAGAGAAAAAAAGGGAAGTTGTAAAATGTCCGCCGAGGTCTACAGTGTCTTCTTTTATAGACGCTTCATGCAAATAAGGTACTCAAGAATATCCAGATCTGATTTGATAATGTGTCAGTGACGAGTATATGTAAATTTAATTACATCACATCACCTTTCTTATTGGTTAGCGATGTGAGAGAAGATTTTTAACCAATCCCATCTTGCGCTGAACAATTCCACCCAGCACTATAACTAGCGTCCTGTTGCTCCCTTCAGTACATTTCTTTTATTGTTTTTCCTGCTGCTGAAATCTTGGTGCTACTAGTCAGCATGTCTGGACGCGGAAAACAGGGCGGCAAGGCGCGCGCCAAGGCCAAGACACGCTCCTCCCGCGCTGGCCTCCAGTTTCCAGTCGGCAGAGTGCACCGCCTGCTCCGCAAGGGCAACTACGCCGAGCGGGTCGGGGCCGGCGCGCCCGTCTACCTGGCGGCCGTGCTCGAGTACCTGACGGCCGAGATCCTGGAGCTGGCGGGCAACGCGGCGCGCGACAACAAGAAGACGCGCATCATCCCGCGCCACCTGCAGCTGGCCATCCGCAACGACGAGGAGCTCAACAAGCTGCTGGGCAAGGTGACCATCGCGCAGGGCGGCGTGCTGCCCAACATCCAGGCCGTGCTGCTGCCCAAGAAGACCGAGAGCCACCACAAGGCCAAGGGCAAGTAAAAGCCTGCAGCGGCGCCAACAAGTTGAAACCAAAGGCTCTTTTCAGAGCCACCCACCTTGGCACTAAAAGGGCTTGCATAATCCATACAGTGGTTTCTCAATGTGCAAGTAGATGGCAGTATGAAAACACTATGAAATAGGAAAGTATCCATTGAAGATTAACAATATAAACAAAGTCGCTAGTCCGCCGAGTCAAACACACACAGATACTTTGTATTGTGTGAGCACGGAGTCAGTGTAGCAGGTCCTCAGTGTTGAAAGTGAAGCTCTTGTCACTCAGTCCCCATTAGGGAACTCAAAACCGCCTGGTGTTGGAAACCTTGCCCAGGTCTCCTACTTCCCCGAAACGAGCACCTGGCCATTAGCTAAGAACATTGCGGTTAGCCACAAGGCACAGTCCCTTGACTATTGGAACCTCTAATCAACAAGGACTTTCCAAATAACCTCCGGCTAGCCCCCGTGTGCCCGCGCTCCACAAGCCAATCAGCGCTCCACAAGCCAATCAGCTACGGACAAAGGAGGTGTCCACAAGTACAAGTTACACCCCAGTAACCAATAAGCGGGCCCTCCTTTCTCTCAAGCTAGCCAATAGCAAGCAGCCTAATCTTCTCCCTTCTTCCCTATATATATACCCAGTACGGAAAAATAAAATTTGCAGCTTGATCAGAACTTGTCTTGCTGTCATTCTTCCCGCCTCTTGTCCCCTCAACCCATTTGTTCCAGGAAGGTGGTCGAGCTCCAGTTGACTGCTCTGCTGGCCAGAGCAGCCCGGTTTTTCCAAAAAGCCGAAATGCTTCAACCCACATGTGTACTTCCCTTGAACTCTACTAAGGTTGTCTCCACTGCCACCAGGAAGTCAGCAAGCTTCTGAAGCTGGTGCTCACACTTTACACACCAAGAAACTAGAAACAATTAGACAGCAGTTTTTTGGCACTTCCTTCACGGGAGGCAGCTGCAGCTCTGCCGGGACAGGAGCTGCCTGGGTGGCAGGGGGTAGGAATGGAGACCGTGCCTCGGCCTGTTCCAGTTGTGCAGGGAGTGTGTGCACACGTACAAACGACGTGCCCCCTGTATACCGAAGTAAACCTGCTGTCTAAAATATGAATGAAAGAAATCATAGAAAAGAGGGGTGACAGCTGACCAATCACACGTCAGGGCGGGCTTTTTAAACGTTACTGGTGCTGGCATTCTTGATGGTGAATTTTTAGGTTGTCTTTTCAGAAACCAAGAAATGAAGCTCGCTTAAATCAACACGAAATGAAGCCGCACTTTTATGGACTTATTTGCAAGTGGAGTATAAACTCACCCGGAAATGTTTATTTTACTCTACCTGTTAGTGGAAATCTAGTCCTATTACTCAAGAAAGCAAGCAAAAACAATTGGAACACAGCGGGAGACCTACAAACCAGACTGATCTCCCAGGCATATGGTCAGAACCCACCTTTTCCTCTGTGAAGTCGTGGCACGGACCACGGCGGTTGTCAACCGTGAACTAAAAACGGCTGTGTTCAAAATGATCTTAAGTACTATGCAGACTTATTCCCTGGGGTAGCGCAGAAGCAATGTCCTCATAACCAGTGGAATCCACCCCTGTGGAAATCAAGGGAAAGGAGTATCTTAATGAGCCCCTAACTCACTGGCTAGGCCTTGGTAGCCTCTAAAGCAAATACTGACCTGCCTTATTTCACATACAGAAATCGGTCTTTGTGCCATTACCTTATGACAATTAAGAAAATGTAAAATTCAAAATAATATACTAAGCCTAAAAAATGTTGTAATTGTTTCTAATATGTAATTTACTGTTACGGGGACCATCAGAAAGACATACCTAGTTCAGAAGAGCATGGGAGGTTATCACGACTGTATCTACATGGAAGAGAAGGAACACAGATCAGCCACCCCTTAATTTCCGTCTTTGCCAAAAAGTTATTCTGAGCTGAAGGCAGCTAAGAAGGTGCAGTTGCAAGAAAAGCTCTCTCTTTTCCCTCCTTTTTGTGCTTTAAGTCAGAACATGAATCCTGGAGACCAGTGACTCTTACTGGGGACTCTTACCAGAGCCGACAGGCACAGCGGACTCTTAGCCACTCCCTTCCCTTATGTGCCTTGTGTGTCGAACCTTCCCAGTTTGCCACCCTCAGGAGCCTATCACTGCTGCTTCCTCTGTCTTGTTACTGCTTTACAAATCTACCCTGCTTTGTTCAAGATGCTGTCTGAATTGAAGCGCAGGCCCTGGCCGGTTAGCTCCGTGGGTTAAAGCCTCCTCCCAATAGGCCACATACAAGTTCAACCAACGACTACAGAAATACGGGAAATGATGAATCTCTCTCTCCCTCTAATAAATGATTAGTTAAACTGAAGGCACCTGTATGAATTACTTCCCTGGGTCTCTCCTATGTACATGAAACATGCGTGTTAATAAGCTTTCATTTTTTTCTCTCTTCCTAATGAGCGTTATCTATTCAGGGCCCGAGGTCAAGGACCAAGGTGGATAGAGAAAAAAATCTGCCTCCCTCACAAAAGAAAGATGATTGAAATAAAATCCAAAGTGTGAATTTAGAACAAGAAGCGTTATTATTTCATGGCGCAGATATAGTGTAATGTTTGGTTGTGTTTTCTAGTCTTCGACAGGCCAGGCCTCTCAAGGTTTGCATGGTCCTGGCTATCCTCTATTCTTGTGAAATGTCAAAATGTAGCGCATATTTTGCAGACCCAACTGTACCTGGAGGAGCTTGACTGGAACCCACTGAGATAAGCACAAATCATTGACGTTACCAAGTGCGCTACAAATCAGCATCTCAGTCCCCAGACAGTGGGCTCCAGGAAAGAGGGAAACAGGGGTGTGTGCACGTAACGTAACTGAAGAACACTTGGCAGGCCTTTCAGACAAACATTTCATACAACAATGACGGGAGGTCCATCCACCCCTTCACCTTTGTTAGATATCTCTGAACAAGCTTCAGAGCCACCCTGCTGTCACCAGGGGCCTTTCCTGGTCCTCTGTGAGCCCAAGCCTGGTGAAGAACTGGTTTCCTGGCTGAACTAACTCTCTGCCTTCCTGTGTCGTGCTTATCAGATTACTGGTCACGCATTGAGGGAAAGGGGCTCAATTTCCCAGAGCTAAAGGGGAAAGGACCAGCCCCTCTCCTTAGACCCTCTGGCTCCGGTCACATCAAAGTCACATGACATCTCCTGCTCAGCTACTTTCAAAAGGTAAAATCATGATTCATTAAATATAGAATGAACACATGTCAAAGAGTTTATCTAACTGACCAACAGGAAAATGTTATGACAGGTTCAAAGAACATTTAACAAATGATGGTATTTATAGAAAATTTAACAAAGACATTTTAAAATACTATTATTGATTCAGAGTAAAACAAAATTAATTGTGCACGAGGCTATAAATCTTTGGAGTCACATTAGAGAGAAATTATTTGCATCTCTACCAAATAAAACTCTGCAAGGTAACAAGTAAGCTCACTCAGTTTTGTACCTTTTTTTTTGAAATTTCCTTTTTTTTAATTTTTATTTTTTTCAGGACCCACTTTTTAAAAGTTGTTATTCAGATATAGTTGTCTCCATTTTCCCACCGCCACTTTACCCCACCCCACCCCCTCCAACTTCCCACCCTCAATCCTTCCCCACTTTGGCTTTGTCAGTGGGTTCTTTATACATGAATGAGTTAATAATGAGATCAAGGAAGAGCATCGGTCTGGTACCTTTTCTCAATAGTCAACAGTGAGACTGTCAAAGTTCGTTTTCATAGGACCCTTGCATGGCCTTCATTGTTTATGATGTCGGACAACTTGGCTGATTTTTTTCTTTACTTTCAAGTCTCAGACCACTTTCCTTACACTGTGAATCTTACTAGGAAAAATAAAAAACATAGCGTCTGCAAGAAAAATTCCTACAAAACTTCGTGGTGTAGCTTCTTGTCATTCTTAACTTGCTCATTAATCGGATAGTAGAAAATGTAACTTTTTATTCTTTCTAGACTCCAATGCAATTGACCCAATTTTGTCTCTGTCTCTCTTGGGCTTTACATAATGTCCAGTAACAGAAAATCGTTTCCTGTCTTTCTTTCTTTTCATGAGATGCTTTGGTACTTCTACTAAAGTCTTTTATTTTTATTTTTTTAAACACATTCGGATTGCACATTCTCTTGTACACAAGCTTAAGCTCCTTTGGACAATAATTTCTCTAATAATCAGTTTTTTATGCTTACTCTAAAAAAAAACACGTGTTTGGAACAAAATGACGAGCCACAGATTTTCCAGGTAGTCTCCAGCCCCTGATACCCTGCTTGTGAGTTCTAAGGTCAACAAGTTTCCCGGCATCCACCTTGTGCTGCAGGAGATGCCAGCCCAAAATGTGCCGCTTTGGCGTGTGGACTACTTTGAGCTAAAGTCAACCGAGACCCAGCAGAATTAATAAAAAGTTTTACCTACCTGAAAGAATTTAAATGGAGGGCCTGTCCCACGGAAAGAACTGTTGTGACAGACAACTTTTATCAGGATGACCTAGGACAGGGCGGCATCTAATTACCAAACACCCACTCTTCTCCCCCCCCCCCCCATCCTGCTCCTTAGCTCAGGGCTGCCTTTGGGTTCCCTACATGTATAGGGCTCCGGCCGCACAAAATTAGTTTTTGTTCTGTCCGTCTGTGTTACTTCAATTGGACTGTGAGAGCAGCCAAATAACCCAGGGAGATAGAAGAAGAACAGTTTGTCCTCCCCTAAACCTTGTTGAGTAATGTTTCATCTGAGAAGTCTTCCTTGGCTGAAATAACTTTAACTTTTTGAGAGTGCTTCTGTCCAGTTTGAGGCCAGTCTCTGTGGCTGGGTGTCTTAGAAACACACTCTATGCCCACTGTCTTCCAAAGGCCATGATAGCAAGCTTTGCCAAAGACCAGGAAACAAGCAGGATGGAAGAACCTGGAGCACAACCTATAGGAAGTAATGCAAGCCACAGGCACGATTCTAGATTTTCCAGTAACCACATTTTGAAAAGTAACAAGATGCAATTATTGTAATAACAGAGCCCTGGCCAGGTGGCTCAGTTGGTTGGAGCACCATCCCACACACGGAAAGGTTGGAGGTTGGATCCCTGGTCAGGGCACAAACGGTAAGTTATGTTTAATCTAAATATGCTAAATAGTTTTCTAGTTTTTAAAATTTCAATTGTTGTTCAAATACAGTTTTCTGCCTTTTCTCCCATCCCAGCCCACCCGCCCAGCCCTCCCCACTTCCCTCCCATTCCCACCCTCCCATGTTTTTGTCCACGTGTCCTTTATACTTGCTCCTGTAAACCCTTCCCCTTCCCCCCTGAAATTCCCTTCCCTCTCCCCTCTGTAAGTATGCAAAATATTGTATTGCAACAGGTAACCAATATAAGTATATCATTATTGCATTTATTGGAATATTTTCCATTTCTTTGGTCAGCCTAATTTTTCTAAATTTGGAGTATATTTTGTTCAATCTGATACTCATTTTTTCTTCGAAAGACTTGATTTGCATTTAAATTCCACCAACTGTAGTGTTGAAAAATTAATTTTGCATGCCCACGTGGTCCAAACATACCTAAAAACTTTCAGCAACTGAGTGGAGCATGAGCTATTTCATTGAAAATGAAACGTAAAAGTATATAAAATTTTTAAATATATATATATAATGTAAATTTTGGTTCATCAACATCAGCCACATTTTAAATGCTCAAAACTGGGTCAGACTGTTTTATCAGGCAGTGCAGTCCTCGGGGGAATCGGTCTGGATGCAGACGTGATGGAGACCGGTGGTTAAAATCACAGAAAAATGTAGGTTCCCAGCTCTTTCAATAAAAAACTAATTAATCGCCCTGGCTGGCGTAGCTCAGTGGATTGAGCGCGGGCCTGCGAACCAGAGTATCGCGGTTCGATTCCCAGTCAGGGCACATGCCTGGGTTGCAGGCCAGTTCCTAGCAGGGGACACATGAGAGGCAACCACACATTGATGTTTCTCTCCCACTCTCCTTCCCTTCCCCTCTCAAAAAATAAATAAATAAAATATTTAAAAAAACTAATTAATAAACAATAATAGTCTGTATATAACTTTAAAGACCATCATGTAAATTTGGCACTGACTTCAAAACTCAAACTTTGCCTTTGATATAAAGCAATGGACATTATGAAAACAAACAAACAAAAACTGCACAGACATAGGCCCAGATGTTAGCGGGTCTTAACCTTCAGCGGTGACTGCAGCCCGGACGGTGGCTCCTGCAGGACAGGCCTCGGCCAGTCTGTGCGCAGGGACCCTCGAGCGTGGGCACCTCAGCCCGTGGGGAGGGAGCTGGCGCTTCTTGGGGCACAAACTGGAATTAAAAGCAAACAGAGGTGGGGGGTAGAGTATGGGCCGGAAGGGGGACAGGCAGGAAGCAAACGGGGGGGGGGGGTGTCTTCTCAATTTCGCCCCCCTCCCCAATGCAGGACAGAAAGCTCCGGAGTCCCCTGCGCTCTCTCTAGGAGGGACCCGCCGGTCCCGCTTCCCCTGCGTGAGGGTCAACCGGGGGTCGTGGTTGGCGAGGAGCCGTTTCCAGCGCCGCCTAGCTCGTTCTTAATTCTGGGTGTTCAATAAATATTTCTACAAATTACCACCCTGCGAGGGTGCTGCCACCCACCGGAAGCCACGTTGATTAAAATATGAATTGCCAGCAGAAGGCTGGGTATAAATTCCTAATGCATTTGTCCGGGGAATATCCAGTCAAATATCTTACTGGACATTTGTCAGAGAATATCCAGTAAGTATGAGCCCCTGCCTCCCCCATGCCAACACCACCACCTCCCAGGCTCCTGGCTGTCACCCGCCTCCTCACACCCGGTTGGCTCGGCTTTAGGGGAAACTGAGCCTTGTTCTTTCCCAAGCGCAGCCCCTCCCTAAGCCCGAGGCCAAGCAGTTTGTAAGGTGCCCTTGACTAGACAAAGGGGTCCGCGTCCTAACTCGGGTGTCTAACCCCCTCCCGCCGGAAGCCGCACTTTGCATTTGTGAAGGGGGCTTGGTCCCCGCCTCCTCTCCGCCTGTCAGCACTTAAGTCGTCCTGCTGGAAATGTTTTATTTATTTATTTTTATTATGGATAATTCAAATGCTACAGTATGGTTATTAAAAATTGTTTTTTGTTTTTAAGCATTTATTCCTATTTATAAAAGGTCAAGAGACTTTTAAAAGGCGCAGAGATGCCCGGGTTTGGTGAAGGTCATGCCGAGTCGGTGCTGCCGGTTTCTCCGTAACTCGGGCATCAGTCAGTTCGATCCTTGTTAGCGAAACACCCCGAAAATTCTTCTGCTTGGGTCGCGGTGGCTTCCCCAGACTCCAGGTGTCGCTCGTTCAGTGACCATCAGTTCACGAATGATGAAAATGTGTTACCAGAAACAATCACGGAAGGTTTGAAGATCCCTTCGTCGCTCCTGGAAACCAGGGCCCAGGGCTGTGGCCGTGAGTGGCGGAAGGAGACCACGGGAGTGTGGCCTGCAAAGGCCGGTAAGAAACGCGGGTCTCTCAGAGTGCAGACCAGCAAACACGCTTCAAGAGGAAACACCTCAAAGGTTTTTCAGAGCATCTGCTCAGGTGGGTGAGCCAGGCAATTTGATAAACTGCATCTTTGGGAAAAGCGTGGCTGGCTACTTAAGACACAATCTCTGTTGCCCGGTCGGCCTGCTATTGGGTCTCCCCCTGGTCCGGGAGGAAATACTCAGTCAGCAGCAGGATAGCTGAGACTCCTGAGTCCAGGTGAGAGTCCCAGACTAGAAATAAAACTTTGGGATTTATCAGCATAAGTAGGTGGTGAAACTGATGTGACCACCAAGGACGCAAACGCAATGCACCGTGTACACTGTCATGTCCAAGGAGGGGGAAGAATGCAAATTGTCATGAAAAAGGGCTGAATTCCCATTGTCCACATCCCTGAAATCGTGTCTTACCTCTAGCCGCTGCAACAAAAACCCCACAGGCTGGTTGGCTTACAGCAACAAACGTTGTTTTCTACAGCCCTGGAGACGTCCCAGCCTTGGGACGTCCAGGCTCAAGTTGAGACAGAATCACACAGAGTGAGCGTCTGGTGAGGACCCAGTTTCTGGTTCAGAGACCGCGGTCCTCTCCCTGCGCCCTCTTAAGGCACAGGAAAGGGGACAAAGAGCTTTCTGTGGTCCCTTCTGTAAAGGGCATTAATGGCACTAACTCTCACTAATCTTTTATAAAGAGCTCCGTCCTCGTGGGCTAATCAGCTCCCGAGGGCCCCCATTCCTAACACACGAGAGGTTAGGATTTCAGAACAGAAATCTTGGGGCTACAAGCGCTCAGCCTGATATTCTGGATCCCTGCTGAGGAAGAGGGAAACCACGCCAGTCTCTGCTCCGATTGCCCGGGTTCCGCCTGCTCTGAGGCCCCTTTCTGCTCCTCGTGACCTCATCCAGTCTCGCCACCTTTACGTTCTGTGTTCCGTGAGATCGTTCATGTTTCACAGGAGAACGCCGTGGCCTGGCTGTCAGCCCTGGGCCAGCTTGCAGTCCCCAGAAAGCTATGGTGTGGATGCCTGTGTGCATTTTCTACCCCGAACCCCAGGTCCTCCGCACCCCCAGGCCCCCGGAGTGCTGCTGTGACAGGTTCTCCTAGAACTCCTTCCAGCTCCACAGCCTGACTCAGTCAGCCTGGCAGTGTTTCTGCAGAACGTCTGAGATGATGCAGCCGAGACAGGCCAGGCGGCGTGCTGTTTGTCCGAAACGAGGATTTCACGAGTGCTGGGACCAGGGAGGCTCTGACAGTTTGCACAAGGGGTGCCAGGTGGAACTAAAACGAACTTGCTGCTATCAGCAAGGCCACCAACCGAAGGAGCCGCGATGACCATAACAGAAGCGAGTCTCCCTGTTGTCACCACCTCCCCTGCACTCAGGAGCCTGCATCTGCATGCCTGTGTACAATCACTCTGTCCCGTTTGCCCACCGATGCACCCAATGTCAACAGCTGGGCCAGGCACATTTCAGGAGCTCAATAACCGTCTCTCGAAGGGACACAAGCTGAGGGTGGCATGAAATGACCCTTGTCCCAACCAGGCCCATGTTTGCTCCTCTGAACACCCAGATGCAGCTGTGAGCTCTCACGGTCAGTTCACAAGAAGCCACGTGAGGCACTGTTATCTTTCCCCAACGTATCTTGGGGGACAGTCTATGAGGTGAGAAGTAGGAATCAAAAACTAGGAGGGACACTGGGCGAGGCCATCATATTGAGGCTAAAACCAGCCCTTTACTGAAAGAATATGAAAAAGAACCCAGTGGTGGAGTCATCTGTCAATGCCTCTGTAGATGAGAATAAGCTGTTTCTGATTAGCCAGCTTCCAGTGAACACGCCCCTTCTTCTCCAGGTGAATTCTCCCCTCCGATGTGCCTTGGAAACACGTAAGTGGGCCAGGGACAACCTTGCTTAAAATCTTTCTGTAGCTACAATGACTGGCTAAGCCAAACCCACATGTCCAAGTCTAGCAGGAGAGGTCTAACCTACCTGCGTCACCTGCTGCCACCTGCCTGGAGATCTCTGTGCGAAAGAGTACGTACCGACCCACTTTGCTCTCGTATTGGGGGCCACATTTGAAGTAATTGCCAAAATAACCCATAGCTTTAAAATACAAAATGCCTATCTGCATTTATTAAGATGAAAAAAAGTGCCGATCTTGAACTGTGAGGATTATGCATTTAAAGCAAATAAATCAGGAGCATTGGAAAAATACAATTAAAGGTAGGTTAGATTTTTAGCACATCCAAGTCCCTGAAGTGACTCTCCAGTGAAATTCTAATTATTCCCCCTGAGGTGCTGAGGTGCTACGGCTCTGGCGACTCTGGACGTTTGCACTTACGATCCAGCCAACTCAACCGTAGTCACTGGTCACCCACAGACCAGGACTGAGCCCTGTGAGGAGCACAGGAGACACGTGGGACATAATCACATGTATGTTCTATAGTGTAGGTGATGCATGTACAACAAAGAAGACATGGATAATTTTAACCAATCGGACAACGTTGAGAGCAATTAGATATTGATATAAACACAAACGCCAGAATATTGAACCTTTTAGGGCTATATCACAATAGTTCCCACTGCGCACAGTTATTTCAAATTCTTTGCTGCACTAATAAAATTCACAATGAAGCTACTGCATTATACATACATTTTAAAGAAAGTCTATTGACAGACAAGACCTCTTTAAAAAATCTCCATGTTACAGCTCTCAAGATGCCAACGTGAGTGGCTCTGAAAAGAACCTTTTTATTTGACAGAGGCTGAAGCACACTACTTGGAGCTGGTGTACTTGGTGACGGCCTTGGTGCCCTCGGACACCGCGTGCTTGGCCAGCTCCCCAGGCAGCAGCAGGCGCACGGCCGTCACAGAGCGCTTGTTTAATGCGCGACCATTAAATTCGTTCACGAAGGAGTTCATGATGCCCATGGCCTTGGACGAGATGCCCGTGTCCGGGTGCACTTGCTTGAGCACCTTGTACACGTACACCGAGTAGCTCTCCTTGCGGCTGCGCTTGCGCTTCTTGCCGTCCTTCTTCTGCACCTTGGTCACGGCCTTCTTGGAGCCCTTCTTCGGGGCGGGCGCGGACTTGGCCGGCTCGGGCATAGTATAGAATTACAAGGGCAGAAAACGTGGGAGATGGACAGAAACAGAATAATAATAACAAAAAATCCTGAGTATGCAAGGTCTCCCATATCTAAACTCTGATTGGACCAAAACTGGCCAATATATTAAGAGAATATATGTTAGGTGTTCCTAAACTCCTTTTCTATTGGATGAAAAGAAACGCTTTCAAGGAATCCTATAAATGAGAACAAATGTAAGAAATATTTTTTATTCTATTGGTTAGGCTCTTAGAGTTGTTCCAGTTTTTAATTTTAAGAGATATCTTCACACCGCAGTTTTTAATTTTGAAAGTAACTGGAAACCTTCCCGCTGGGGGGCGAAAACCCGGGAGGAAGATCCTGTCCCCTCGCAGGCTGCCGCCGCGCACCCCCCGCGGGCTTTGTCATGGACTGTGCGGGACACCCGCGTCTCTCCGGCCCGAAGCTGGGCCATCGCAGCGTTTTAAATAAACGTTCACCGAAGACTCTGGGTCGCTGCCATCTTTTCAAGGTTCCTTATTTCAAATGCTTTCTTATCAGTTCCCTCAGGGCGGCGGAGCTGACATTTTAAATGCGTCAAAACCGAAGGGCAGAGTCAAATTGCCATTTTGAGCTAAACTCGAAATAGAGGCTCCAGGGGCTCCAGGAAATAACTCCGCATAGGCCCCGGTGCGACAGTGAACCAGGGACTTGCTTAAAATAGCGCGAAATGGCGCTCGCAAGAGGCTCGGACGGTGGGTTTTTAAATCGGGGAAAGGGCGGTAATGAGACCTGGATGAAAACGGGTTAACGGTGCGCAAAAGGGCGGGAGATTTAAAAATAAATAAATAAAGCACTTTGTCTTTTGAACACATTTTTTTCTCCAAACAGGAGAAAAAGCTCAAGAATATTAAATGTTTCTGTGGGCCATCCCTGTGGGTGGGGAGGGCGGAGGCTTCACTGATGAAACAAATAACTAAGAAAATGACTTTACTTAAGGTACTTGTCTGCTAATTCAAATGAACCAATCAGAGACTCGCCGAACAGATAGAGCCACCCTCACAGCATCGGAGCGCTTCCGGAATTCAGCGCTGAAGAGGAATCGCCAGCAATCCAATCAGAGTAATTCTGTTCCTGCATAAATACCGGGGCAAGCGGTCTGTTCCAGTGCACTAGCGTTACAGGCAAGTCATGGCCCGGACCAAGCAGACGGCGCGCAAGTCCACCGGCGGGAAGGCCCCACGCAAGCAGCTGGCCACCAAGGCGGCCCGCAAGAGCGCACCGGCCACAGGCGGCGTCAAGAAGCCGCACCGCTACCGGCCCGGAACCGTGGCCCTGCGCGAGATCCGCCGCTACCAGAAGTCCACCGAGCTGCTGATCCGCAAGCTGCCCTTCCAGCGCCTGGTGCGCGAGATCGCGCAGGACTTCAAGACCGACCTGCGCTTCCAGAGCTCGGCCGTCATGGCGCTGCAGGAGGCGTGCGAGGCCTACCTGGTGGGCCTGTTCGAGGACACCAACCTGTGCGCCATCCACGCCAAGCGCGTCACCATCATGCCCAAGGACATCCAGCTGGCGCGCCGCATCCGCGGGGAGCGGGCGTAAACTATCTCATCACCGAATGGTGACCTTGAACCCAAAGGCTCTTTTCAGAGCCACCTACACTACACTTTGAGGAGCTGGTAGCAAGTAAGTTGGGTCTGCTCCCTAATCCAAGAGATGGGGGGTGGGGTCCGTAGTGGCAGCGGCAGCTACAGGGGAGTGGAGCTGTGGCCGCCCAACTCCCCCGTCCTCCCCAGTGCACCCTGTTGTCCCTGAGGCACCGTGTCCTGCATGAGACAGATGGGCCAGCACTACTGCGCGAAATGATGCCGAGTCTGGGAGCGAGTTACACCCCAGTTCTAGCCAGCAATTCAGAACTGCTGCAGCAAATTTTTGCAAGGTCATTGTTCAGAATGTCCCCACCCCGCTTGAAAAACATGATACAGTCACTAACTGGTACCCCAGGTCTCGCGCAGATAAAACTGAATGACTCCCTATTTGCTGGAATCCTCAACCATTGAGAAGGCAGCTTCCCACTTTCTTCCAAATGCAAATTTTGTGAGATTCTCAGGCAATGCAGGAATTTTGAATTTAGTGAGGTTCTTACGGAAATGGGAGCGGCTAGCCTGGGGCGACTGGTACACAATGGATGCCCTTTAGCTAATATCTCTACACTTGAGTGAAACCCAGTCCATTGTGGGAATCAGGAACTTGGCCCTCCCGGCCGTTTATTCAACAAAATTGCAGACTCGCTGGAAGGAGCCTGAAGCTACAGAACCCAGAATTCAGGTTCAGAAACACCCAGAGCAGCTCAGGGAAATGTAGAGCGACACAATGATTTCTACCTAAGTGTAGAAAAGGTAGCAGGCTCCCGGTCACCATTTCAGCATGAATTTACCTTCTTTGAGACATCATTTTATTTTTATTTTTTAAAAAGATTTAATTTATTTATCTGTAGAGGGGAAGGGAAGGAGAGAGGGAGAGAAACATCAATGTGTGGTTGTCTTCGTGCGTCCCCTGCTGGGAACTGGCCTGCAGGGAACCGGCCTGCAACCCGGTATGTGCCCTGACTGGGATTCGAACTGCGATTGTGTGCTTCGCAGGCCTGAGCTCAATCCACTGAGCTACACCAGCCAGGGCAAGACATCATTTTAAGGTGGAATTCAGGAAAACAAAGTGGGGTGGTGAAAGGAACAACGTAACTGTGCTTAAAAGTTAATAACAGCTTTATTTGTAATAGCCTTAAAGCAGAAACACCATAACAATTTTGTATCTTTTTACTGATGGTTGGTTACCCAAATACTGATACAGCTGTACAACTGGATCCTATTCAGAAATTAGATACACGGAACAACCTGGCTGGATCTCGAGGGTAAAATACTTAGTCAGTTCCAGTCTGGAAGGTCACATATCGGATGATCACATTTATGTGGCATTCTCACTGTAACGGAACCAGACATGGATACCGGAAGAGCGTCTGCCCAGGGACAGGGAAAAGTGGGTGGATGTGACTGGGGGGGGGGGGGGGGGGGGGAGTCCGTGTCTGCATCACAGCAGTGGTCACAAGTGCGGTGGCACAGAGCCATCTGCTCACAGGCCCAGATGACACCCTATAAAACTGGTGAGAGTACCTACGCCTGGAGTCTAGTGGACGGTATTTTGCAGAAATAAAGCTGAATAACTTTCTATTTTCTGGAATCCTCAATCATTGAGAAGGCAATGAAAATGTCTGGTTTTCAGATTATAATATCATTGTATAGGATATCACCGTGAAGGAAAACTGGGTTCATGGACTCTGTTGGAAACTAATGAAGGAGGGAAAAAAAAAGCTGTATCAGTTGTCTGGCCATTCCTTCTTTGTATTGCTTAGAATTCTTAACAAATTCAGGTTTTTGTGTTCGTTGTTTCTATAAACAGCAGGAAGTTTTGGACTTTCTTCTGGCTGTTGCAGGTGGCACAAGCATTTGCCTGAGGTGTGTTTCATTTATGTTGATACAGGATTTTCACAGGTCGCTGCCTCGACCTCAACAGTGAATTGTGTTTCAAGGTCTGATGTTTGTAATCTCGTTTTCTGGTGGGTTCTTGGCTGAGTTGATCCACAGCATTTGGACACTGTGCTCGGTGCATCCTAGGTGGACAGTGGCACGGGCCAGAAGCTGCTGCCCAAGATGGCACCGCTGGTGGTGAGAGTTCCGGGCCCCGAACCCGTATTTAATGCCTGGTGTCAGTGCCATTTCAACCCCTCCCGGAAACAAAAACTTGATCAGTAAGCCTGGAATTTTTCTGGTCAAGCACCAGTAAAGTGGTTCTGTTCAGTTCATCTTTCTACACCACAGCTTTCTGAGTTGTAAAATGAGCCTTTTAACTGTACCAATGCAAACACTTAAAATGAAACCATCATAAATGTGCTTTGTAAACTGTCAGGGGAAACAAAGAGGTTGTACAGTCATCGTGATCATGCTTTTGAATGTCTAATTCCCCCCGTAGTTCTCTTGCTCCTCATCACTCCTATCAAAACCCTAAGTCTCATTCGAGGCCCTCATGGCTGTCCTCCCATTTTTCCTACTCAGTGCAATCTCTTTTTTTCAAAAAGGATTCTTCCCACATTCCCCCATTTACCCAGGTCTTCTTTCTCAATTTAGCCACTCCCATAAAAGGAGGGAGAAATTATGGGATGCAGCTGTGACTGGGAAAATTGCACTCTTGGTTAGAAGGACACTCACAAGGTTACAGGTTACATTCATTTTTTAAAACTAAGTGTAAGTAGTGGAATTTAAGCAATTATCATCCAATCTCGGGTGCTGTGGACAGAATAAAGTGAAGGGACATTCCAACCACAAGGTCCTTGGTGTCCCTTGGCAATGTGCTGGGGGGGAGGGGGCCCTGCTTAGCATGAGGCCTGTAGCTACCTTCTCAAAAGGATGTGTTTAAATACTTAATGCGTAGAGGATAAGAATGTTAGCAAGGTTAGAATATGAGTGTATTTAAGTTCCCAATAATGTGTCTCATTAATAACATCAAATAACAAGGAGCAGCAGCAAGGAATGAGGACCGGGGTGAAGGACTCACAAGGAGCATAAACTTTACGCAGTAACTGCAAAGCGATACAAACCCGTCACGGACCGGCCTTGCTAGAGAAGGCGCAGCCTGCAGAATCCACGGGCTCGTGGTCTGTACACCAAATTGACAGCAAGGCCAATCCGCCGCCCAGGCTTACTGCCCCAGATGGCCTGTAGAGCTCAGAATTTTGTCAAGATTTGCCAGTAAAATTAAGTGGGCTTCCCTGATTAAAAATAAAAATAAAAATAAAACCTCAGTCCCAGAGATGAAGTGGAAACAGTGGGGTAGCAAGTGAACCCTTCTCCCCAGGGCCGATACTGTGCGGCTCCCTAGGCCCTCCGCACAGTCTGGGGAGGAAATCTGGCAGAGGGCCAATGACCAACCCTCAGAGGAGGGAGGTTACACCGTCACTGCCGCTCTCAGCCTCAACCTCAGTTACCCGCAGAACAATCAACGTGCATACTCGCCCCAAAGCGAGCTCTGGTGACCTCAAGGAAACAAAAATCCAAGTGTGTGTTGTTTTTTTTTTATCCAAGTTTTTCAATGGCTTCATGGGAGACAGACTTGCTGTCTCTGCCTCTAATCCGTACCCTCCCTGTACGTACCCCTGGTACGTGATCGGGACTGCGTTCTGATTAGCGCTCCGTAACCTCTGCGAGCCAATGGGACAGGGAAGGTTAGGAACCCCCCAGAGAACTGGAGAACTCTCCTCAGATTGGCCTATGTATAATAATTACACTTTTTCTCCCCTAAAGCGTCTGCGCGCGGGAAGCAGGGCGGCAAGACGCGCCACCAGCCGCTGGCCGGCCACCCTCAACGACCAGGAGCTCCGTGTGCTCCCGGCCGGAGTGGCCCTCGCAGGAGCGCGGGGTTCAGCCGCACTGCTGCCCAGGACCGAGTGCCCCAAGGCCAGGGCAAAGTGGAGGTTAGACCACTGTCCCTGCACCAGAAGACAAAGACGTTCACTTCCTACGAGGACAGTGTCCATGATCTTTTAGGATATTTGAACCGCACGCGCGCCCCTCTCCATCCCCCCATTCGGCCCCGAATTTAACCAGTAACCATAAGAAAACACACGCACGCATACAATATATATATCTAGTTAAGCTCTTTTTCCTGAAATTCGTGGGTGGCTCTGAAAAGAGCCTTTTGAGATTTTCACAGCAGGACCTGCCTCTGAAGTTTACTTTTTCTTAGGTGCCGCCTTCTTCGCCTTTGTAGCCTTGGGTTTCGCGGCTTTAGGCTTCGCCGCCTTGGGCTTAGAGGCCTTGGCCTTGGCTGGACTCTTGGCCGCCTTCTTGGGTTTCGCTGCCTTCACCTTTTTCGGGCTCTTGGTCACTTTCTTGGCCCCTGCAGCCGCCGCCGGCTTCTTCGCCTTCTTCGGGGTCTTCTTGGCGCTCTTCTTGGGGGTGGCGGACCCCGCGGCCTTCTTGGGTTTCTTGGCCGCCCCAGCAGCCTTCTTGGGCTTGGCCGCGCCCGCCTTCTTGGCCTTGGGCTTGGCCTCGCCGGAGGCCGCCTTCTTGTTGAGCTTGAAGGAGCCCGAGGCGCCGGTGCCCTTGGTCTGCACCAGGGTGCCCTTGCTCACCAGGCTCTTGAGGCCCAGCTTGATGCGGCTGTTGTTCTTCTCCACGTCGTAGCCCGCGGCCGCCAGCGCCTTCTTGAGCGCGGCCAGCGACACGCCGCTGCGCTCCTTGGAGGCGGCCACGGCCTTGGTGATGAGCTCGGACACGGGCGGCCCGGACGCCTGGCGCTTGGCGGCGCCGGCGCCAGTTTTCTTCGCCTTCTTCTTAACAGGTGTTTTCTCCGCAGTGGCGGGAGCGGCAGGAGCAACTGGTGCAGTCTCCGACATTTTTTCCTGTTTTGCCTACAAAGACAAAAAAAGACTTAAACTGTCAGAGCGGCGTGCCCGAGCGCGGGCGGCGGGGGTTTATATAGCGAGTCTCTGGGAGGTGATTGGCTGCCGGCTCCGCGCGCCGCGCTGCCCAGAGCGCTCCTGCGCTCTGCCGGGTGGCTGTGTTTTCTGCCCCTCAAAAAAGAAGAAAAATGTAAGAAATCTGAGCACGAAATAATTAGGGAGTTGGGGGAAACGGATCCCAGAGTCTCCAGGCTGCCTCCCTGCCCTCTTCGCCTCGCCTCCTGTCTCAGCCGGCCCCCAGAAAGTGTCCTGGTTCCCCCAACTCTCTTTGAAACTTCTGTCAAACGGAGACAACTTGCAGATTTTTCTTAAAAATGCTTTTTCTCTCTGTTTTCTTTGCAAATATTTTCTCCAGGACATAGTTCTACACATTCTTTTCTTCGCAACTTTATGTAAATAAAGTCATGTCTACTCAAATATAAAAGGAAAGCCGGGTTTTTCGTGAGAGCAATAGCACAGCACGAGCTATTTGCCCCGAGCAGTGTGAATTGGCGGTGGGGGAGAGAATTCTGCAGGGGTGAAGGACAACTATTTTAGAAAAGGTGTTTTATCTCCGAGTGTCTGAGTGACCAATGTGTAAACTGGGTTTGATCCCAGCGTTTTCGGTGATTTGAACATTATAGGAAGGGTGAGGACAAGGCGGCTTCGCGCCTTTTTTGAATACCCAGTCCGAACCGGTCACCAGTCTTCTCTGAAAAAGCACTCTGGTCTGTTTCACAGACCCACTGTGGGCATTGGAGCGCGGCCACCCTCTCCACACAGAAGAGTCACAAAGCAACAGAATAGCAGTATATTTACCAGCTGTGAGCTGAAGCAGCCTGGGAGACCATGTGTTCTTTATCCCCTCTCCTTAAAATGGTCAATGAGTTAATGACAGACAGCCTACCCATCAGCGTTTTTCTCTAATATTTAGCACTCTAATAGAGTGCTGTGCGTTATTTTCTCTGTTTCGAGATGGTGTTTTAAAGATAGGTGTGATTTGACCTTCTTAACATTGAAAGTAGGGACACAAGGAAGTAGAAAGAAAAATTTCTCATTGAAATCACAGTCTGAATTTTCACAGTTCTCCCTGGGCTTTTTAATAACAAAATGTGAAGTAGACAGTCATGACCTAAATCCGTTAGCCGAGAGTGTCCTCTAAGAGGCCGAACCAACATTTCATCACGAGTGTGCTGGCTTTCCCAGTCCAACACAGCAGAGTGAACAGAATTCAGTAAATATTGATCAGTGAGCACAAGCTAATGTTATCCACCAAGTCAGCAGGTGCTGAAATTAAACCTCCTGTTGGTTCAATAAACAAGGAAAGTATTTGGAGTCCTGTGTTTCTTCTGATAAATACCCCTATTTCCAAAAATCTAGTTATTCTAGCCTGCATTTCTTGCAATTTGAGAGCTGTCTCCTGTAAAACCAAGATCAAAGGATCAACTTTAAAGGTGTCACAGTTCACTAATTTCGCATGGATCACTTGTCTTGTGTTTCAATCGTTCTTTGCTGGCAGGCCCTAACTGGAACCACGTCTCTGGGACTGGAGGCCACGTTGTACACCAAACGCAAATGCTGTGTGTGAAGAGGCTAGCTCGCAGGGTGGGGTCGTGCCGCTCCTTCTCCCCAGGCAGGCATCTCGTGGGTGTCTAGGGGAAGGAGATCTCACCCTCAGCAGCATCACTGGCAGCAGCAGTGATCACAAACGCTGTGTAGGCCTCTTTCCTTTTCAGCGGAAAGCCTAATGTGACCCAGCCCTAAAGATAAAATTCAAATTTTTTAAAGTTCACTATTTGGGTCAGCGTAAGAGTCATGCTCTCGGTTGCTGGCAAGTGCCGGAGGTGTTCTCTGCATGGCATATACTTGGTATACAACGGGCGAAAAGTGCCCTCCAGGGCAGACACCCCCGATTCCTCCCTGTGCAACTCCAACTGCCTCCTGGGGTTATTTAGGCCACACGTGGGGAGTAGACATTGGAACTAAGAACTATTTCTTTAACTGTTTGTAGTTAATCACTGTCCTTCCTGAAGGGAAGTAATTGAGATCAATGCTTTCACCGGAAGGGTTCTTCCCAGAAGTTCACAAGAGGAGGGGCCATGCCCGGGGCAGTTCCCGCTGCTGGGACCCAGGCTGGGAGTGTGTTTAGCACAGAGCAGGTTCCTGAAAGCTGGATTATGCTGCAGGCAACTGTAAACTTGAAAACTTCCCCCTTTTATTTTGGTAGCCACCAAGACAGCTGTGCTTTTACTTTTGAATCCTCCACCGGTATATATCTTAGGACACTGGATTTTCCACTGTGCTGAGATGGAAGAAATAGCAGAGACGAACTACAGACAAGTGATGGAGAACTCTCTCGGCGGTGGTGGCAACCCCCCTCTCGGCAGGGTGAACACCATTGTTCACCCTGACAGACACAGCCAGTGTCACTCTGTCTGTCACAGGGACTGTGCTGAAGCAAGTGGAAAAGGTTTAGGGGGGAAGGGACTGCACTGAATAAAGAATAAAATGGGCAAAGGAAACTTGAGGGCTGTATAGCAGACAGGGCTTTGTGTTCGAATGACACGTGTCCAAAAGGGCCCTGAGAAACCACATCTATTGTAATTTCTTTTCAGATGGTGTCACCGGAGGACGCTCTCCCACTTGAAACTTCCCTCCGAGCACTGCTACACCTTATTAATTTTGTTTTCTAAAAAGGGCACTACTCTCAAACTTGCAATTTTCTTCTTACACATCTCTCTCTGTCTCACTATGTGTAATGCCTGGTGCACCCAGAAGTTGGCTGATTTCTACTGCACCTCAAGCAAAGCCCAGTCTTCACCTCATCACAGGTTCCCCGCACCCCGCTGTCCACAGTCGGCATTAGCAGTTCTCTGGAAGGGATGCTCTGTTTCAGTCCAGCCCAGTGGAACCCAGTGTGCTGGCAACGGTCTGCAGCTGGGCTGTCAGAGACCCTGCGTGTGGCTAACTGCAGACACTAATGTCCTATGTTATCTAAGTGTAATTGATTTAAATTGAAAGGAGCACCCGTAACTGATGGCTCGTGCAGGACAGCAGAGCTTTGTAACAGCTCTTCCCACACTTGCACACACCAGCCACCCACTGGGGGTCTTTTTGAAAATGCCACTTCACTGGATTTGGGGTTGTCCCTGAAATTGTGAGTCAGACAGGATCCCAGGTGATGCGGTCACACAGCAGCCCCACCCATCACTCCCAGGCAGAACCAGGAGCCTGTGGAGCTGACTCAGGCTGACCTCACCCAGACTTGACTTTTCTCTTCCCTGCACTTGACCGTTTCTTTAAAAGAACGTGCACACTGGCGTACTCTCCCTCCCAGGAGCACACCCATGCCTGTCTTCCCTGGCAGGTGTGTGCATCTCCTAAACACTGAGGGTTCCCATGAGACTTCAAGCAGAGGAGCAATGGGCAGGGGCAGCTCTGCCCAGCCTAACCCCCTGAACTTGTCTCCAGGGCCCCCTTTTCTCTGACAGTCAGAGCCAGTTTCAGCCCCACCTACACTCTTTCCTGTTGCCTCTTCTATTCCAAGTCCTTCATTGTTTCACTATCCCTAACTTTATTCAACATGCTCTCAAAATTTAAAGAAAAGGAAAATAACAAAAAAAAGTCATTGTAAATTCGGTATTTGTACACCATTCTAGGCATAGAGTTGACCCTGAATCATTGAACCAATCAATTGGTCAATTGATTGATGATATTTGTTTGAGCTTTCTCAAAAAGGTCAGCCTGGGCGATCCCAGTATCTAAATCTGCTGAAGTCTGGGTCTCAGTCTCTGTGGGGAGGAAATGGTTCCTCCCCTGACTGCATCTAAAATCCTGGAGCGGGATTTTAACAAGTCACCTTTGCAGTAGATAGAAGGTGCTCCATGTGGATGTGTGGAAAGGGGCCGAATGTTGGCATTTGTCTCTTAAATCAACCCATCACCTGTACACATCACATGTGTACAGAACATCCAGGTGCTCTTTTTAGTTGGACAGTATTCCACAGCGTTTATTCATGTTATTTTTAATTCTGTTACTTTGCAAACTTTTATTCACCATGACATACCTTCAGTTCTTTATAGGCATAAATCAGTTTTAAGTGGTAAGGTCATGGAAATCCAGAATCATAGGCCTCAGTTCTCCCCAACAGCACCGCAGAGTAGGACTAGGACAATTCTCCAAGCCTGGGATTCCTCATTCTTACAGTGCAAAAAAAAAAAAAAAATGCTTTATAAATCTGGGAGCAAAAAGTGAAAACTCAATTACCATCGGTTCCCCTTCTAAAGCTCCTTCTCAGTGTGCTGAAAACAACGCGTATCATTCTGCTCTGCAAATGAGAAGTCCCCACGACCCGCCGAATTCTCTAAGTATTGCTAAGTTGTAAAAATCAATACTTTATATTTTTAAGGAATCTTTGCATTTAAAACTAATTTTATTCTGGAATCTCTCCCTTTCGTGGACAAGTGTTGCATTATCGCTTCCTTATTATAAATGGTCATAGTGTTTGGGACACGGGTGCGGTACCAATTATCACAACAACGCACAGGCCCGGGACCAGAGCACACACACACAGCCACTCCGGCCTCCAGCAACGACACAGGAAACAGTCCAATGCCGGCGCCAGTCCCGCCCCCCTGCGCGTCCCGTTTCCGGAAACGCAGGCGAAAGTCTTATATAAGCGGCTGCAGCGGCCGCTGCAGGAGAAGACAGTGAGCTTCAACTTCTCTTCACTATGTCTGGTCGTGGCAAAGGCGGGAAGGGTCTTGGCAAAGGCGGCGCCAAGCGCCACCGCAAGGTGCTGCGCGACAACATCCAGGGCATCACCAAGCCCGCCATCCGCCGCCTGGCCCGCCGCGGCGGCGTCAAGCGCATCTCCGGCCTCATCTACGAGGAGACCCGCGGGGTGCTCAAGGTCTTCCTGGAGAACGTGATCCGGGACGCCGTCACCTACACGGAGCACGCCAAGCGCAAGACGGTCACGGCCATGGACGTGGTCTACGCGCTCAAGCGGCAGGGTCGCACCCTCTACGGCTTCGGCGGCTGAGCGTCCCCACCGCCCTCGCCCTGCGGCCCCGGTTTCTCCACAAAAGGCCCTTCTCAGGGCCACCCACTTGACCACACGAAGGGCTGTTAGTAACCACCAGACCTGAAGGTAGTGCGTGTCTCTTTGTGTCGGTGTTCTGTTGGGATTCTAACTTTTAACAAGAACGTGACTCCTTGCAAAGTCGGGCGCGCTCGCGTCTGGTGCCATTTTCCAGTCTGCGGCCGCGGGCTAAGATGGCGGCTCTCAGACGAGCCCAAAGGACAAAGGGAATTGCGGGGGCGGGGGAGGCGCGGTGCCCTCAGGCGTTCGGGAACGCCCGGGTTTGCTGCCCCCTGGAGCAAGTTGCCTTTGGAATGGCGGCCGTTGTCCAACTGAACTGTTACTAATTGGTTTCATTGTATTCGGGGACCTTAAGATTCACTTTCCCAGAAGGCTGCGCGGACCTGCCACTCGGTGTCCTGTAGGGGGCGCCCGGCCTTCGCGGGAACCCCCTGCAGGAAACCCTGGGAGAGCCGTGCACAGTTAGGCGGGTAAAAGCAAAAATCAGGCCTGGAAGGGTCTTCATTTTTCTCTTTCTCAGGACATTCCTGATGACGTGGAACTCGTCATCGCTCATCTTACTGCTTTATTTTTTAAATTGTAAATGATTTAAACCCTCCTTCGTGTGTTCTGTCCACCGACGGCCTTCCCACCGGTGACCGGGCCTTCATCCTTTGCTCTCCGTTTCCCGGCAGGCAGAAGAGGCGGTGTTTAGACCGAGTCCTGATCTCCCTGCACCTGTGTTCTAAACCCTTCCCTTACCTGTGCCATTTAAACCCCCAGTAAAACACACCCAGTCCACCTGTTCAGCGTCTGAGGATGGTTATTTATGGAAGGGCCTTCCACTCTCAATAACTTACTTGGTTGGACAATAAATTAGCTGGTCATCCAACTCTAGCCATGATCACATCGCAACTTAAATTTTTAAAATCTGGGTCCTTTCCTTCCATGCAGCGTGGAACAGAAGTAGGGTTACAGTTCTGAGTATGTGAAACTTTTTTGTGTTACTTATTAACTACTGTATTATTTTCCATACAAACAAGTAAACCTCCTTTTACCCCACCCTGCATATAACTATATTTGAGTGTCTCTACACTTGGCCTAACAACCCCATCAATTACTAGATAGATCCTTTTCATTTTACCAAATTTTCAAGGCTTGAATACTCAAGTCACTATGATTATATGATTTCTGTCCCAATCACTCACTAGCAAATATACTTGCCAAGGTTAACAGTGACTTAACTTCCAAATGCAAAATTATACTAAGGATTTAATCTCTGCTACATCTGGCCCGGTGTATTAAGTACTCCTGCCTTCACGATATCCGCACAAGGTTGTATGGTACCTTTCTTCCTGACCCAGATAGTCTGTCCTCCCTGATTCTTCTCAGTTGGCTTTTTTGGGCCCCTTGCCTCTGTTTCCGATTCTCCTCAGTGAGCTGTGTCCTGAGGGCCCCTCCCTTCATTTTGTAGGACCCCCTTGTCACAGTGTGCTGAAAATGGTGAGGTATCATCCAGACACCCAGAAAAGCACCGAGCGTCCTGCAAGGTGGCAGAATATGCCACTTTAACATCAGGATTATTTGGAGTTACAGCGGGACTAAAGACGGTGCAAAAGCCGGGCTCTGGCCCCACCTTTCCTTTCGGAGGGAAGATGACCATCCCCTGTGGGATGTGCCTTCTCTGAACCGGGAAGAAAAGGGGTTCCTGTGATCAGAGATGGAGAGTTGAGGCCGAGAGGGATCTGTACCCACAGACCTTGTTAAATAAGCCTTACCTTGCTTCAGTCCGCCCATATATTGTAGTTCCTATTTGACAATTCCTACTCTGTATAGCCTAGGATATAAGGCCTAATCACTTCTGGGCTCTTCACTTTCCTGCGAAGACTGCCCTATACATATAGAAATAGTAAATGAAATTTGTATGCTCTTCTCCTGTTAATCCATCTTGCGCACATTTAATTCTCAGGCCCAGCGGCACATCCTTAAAGAGCAGAGGAAAGCTCTGCCTTCCAGCGCCACGGTCAGGTTCCTGTAGCGGCCCCACATTCCCGCCAGGTCCCTACCTGCCTGCTCCCTGCCCTACGGTCACTCCAGCCCACTGCAGTCAGGTCACAGCGACTTGCCAATGTCATCGTTTCCTTTTTTTGAGGGTGTCTGACTCGGGCAAACTTTATAGGAGGTACACTTGCATGCTTTTCTCCTGTTAATGTGTCTTTTTATGGTGGGAAAATGTCCTCATCCTCCCTTCTGGGTTCCTTAGCTGGTCTAACAATCAAATTTACGTAATACAGATTAACAGGAGAAGAAGAATTTTAGTTTTGTACATAAAAAAGCACCAAAATAATGAGACCCGAAGACACATCAGGCAATTGAGACTGGTCTGCTGTCCTGAGCTAAGAAACCAGAGGGGGGCCTGGGTGCCAGTGGGGAGGAGGGCAGTTCACAGGAGGACAGCCCAGGGCAGTAGATCAGAAGGTTGCCCTGAGGTCATTCAGATCCCTGTTAACTCTGTTAATGGCTCTCTACCTGGAACGGGCTGAGAGAATATCTACATTCTTTTAGGCATAAAAGTTTTTTGGAGTCTGCTGGGTCTTCATTGCCTTGAAATCAAAATAAGTCACAGGCCAAGGTGGCCCATTTTGGGATGACCTCCATTACTCCCCTTCAGTCCTATGTTAATTTAATTCTCAGGCCCAGCAATGAATGCTGGGAGGGTAGAGGTAGCATCTGACTTCTCTACAAAGGCAAGGGAACGTCAAAAAAAATTATATCCCCCCACAACTCCAGGAATACAGCATGGAAAGAACTGTCTATTTTTACTTGGGCACTTGGCAAAAAAGAAGCACCACACACTCAGGGGCTCGAATCCCTGAGAATTCAGGTAGCAACACTGATGTCTGTCTCACAGGGTGGCTTGGAGTATGAAATGAGTTTAACATATGTACAACTGTACATTAGAACGGTTTACCCTTTTATTCTCTTTTATTAAAGTTGCACAGAAAGCCTACACATCAGACTATCTAAGGGTCAAGTACTGTGCAATGAGTGATTCATGTTACCTCTTTCTAGCCTTTCAAACGTAAGATAGACTTTGCAGTCTCCAGAGAGCCTTCCCACCTTTACCGAGAACCAGACATGGTGAGAAACGAGGCTCCTGGACTTCTGTCCCCAGGCAACGCTGCAGCCTTCCCAGGCCCACTGGCGACCCAGCTGCGACTCATGTCCCTCCAGTGTCATGGAGGGACCCTCAGCAGAGCAACTGTCAGCAGAGGCGTTTTCCTGAGAAGCCAGGGACACTTCTCTCCGGGAGGACAGCACCAGGTTCACCCCCGAGCTAGTTCTTCAGGGAAGAGCAAAGACCGTGCAATGCAAACTCGGTGCCAAACTTCTTTGTCTGCAACCTGAGGCTCTTATTGGATTGCAATGCAAACTCTACGCACTTTTAATCTATAATATTTATATAAATAGCATCTTCTCACATGTTTGACATGGCTTGAGTATAATAAACTTCAGTCTCTTTATAAAGTTTTCTCAGAAAATTTTCTTTCCTGAAATTTCTGAAGCATTAAATCAAAAATGGAAATTAGCTAATTGGCTGATCAATTTGAGGACATGCTTTATATATTTAAAAAAACTTTTAATAACCATTGTAGTGTTTGAATGGCCCATAATTAAAACAAAAAAACAAAAATGAGGAAACAGCCTTAGGGTTTACAGAAGGCAGAGTTAAGAGGAAGACAAGCCCGGCGCGGTAGGGGGACGGAGGGGGGAGGCGGAGAGCCCGTAACCTCTGCAGCGACCTCCCCCTTCACATGCAAAGTGGGGCCTCCGGGCTCAGAGGAAGTTAGACACCGACCCCTCGGTCTAGCCCACAGTAGTTTACCAACTGCTTAGCCTCGGGCTTAGGGAGGGACGGGCCTGAGCATGGAAATCAGCAAGTCTCAGTTGCTTACACTTATAGCCCAGCCCACCTTTTCTTTGAGGGGCGGGGCCTAATGACGACGATCAATTCGCCACCTGGGAGGAGAGGGGAGGGTGTCAGGTGAGGCCAGACTGTGCCTCTCTCTCCCCGGGCAAATTAGGAATTAGCACGTAGCGTTTCTGTGGCAATTATTTTAATGGGTCTGGGTTCCTATGGGCGGTGGCACCACCCTCTCAAACTTGTAAATTATACACTTACCGAACCACCTGCCCCCTCCCCCTGCCCCCGCCACCCGACTAAATGGGGCTCAGCTCCTGCCGGCGTGCCAGGCAAACCAGGCTGGAACATGACCCTTTCACAGGGGACAAAGGGCGGGCTGAGTCACTGCCGGAGAAAGACCTTGGGATTCCACAGCTCTCTCCACCATTACCGGCCAAGGGCGAGCTGGGACCACCCCTTTCCGGGTTTGCTTCCAATTCCAGCTACACCCCCACTCCCCACCCCAGCCCGGCCTGCGCTCCCTCCCATGGAGCCCAGGAGTTGCCAGCGCTGCGTCCCTGCGCACAAAGGGAACCCTGTCACGGAGGAGCCACCATCGGTGAGACCCCGCTGACACCGAACCCAGGGGACGTGTTTGCAGAACGACCAGAGCACAAAAGGGCGCACAGCTCTTCCCGAGGGGTGGGCGGCCCTGAAAAGGACCTTTGGTGGAGACAAAGTTTTGGTGATGAAAACAGGGACTTAACCCCCGAAGCCGTAGAGCGTGCGGCCCTGGCGCTTGAGCGCATAGACCACGTCCATGGCCGTGACCGTCTTGCGCTTGGCGTGCTCCGTGTAGGTGACGGCGTCCCGGATCACATTCTCCAGGAAGACCTTGAGCACCCCGCGGGTCTCCTCGTAGATGAGGCCGGAGATGCGCTTGACGCCGCCGCGGCGGGCCAGGCGGCGGATGGCGGGCTTGGTGATGCCCTGGATGTTGTCGCGCAGCACTTTGCGATGGCGCTTGGCGCCCCCTTTGCCCAGACCCTTGCCGCCCTTGCCGCGACCAGACATGGTGAAGGAGTAGAAGCTGCGATGTATGTCCCCACAGTGGCCTCCGCAGCCTCTTAAGTAACAACGGGGCGGACCCGGTTTGAAACAGACCGGAAAGGGCGGAAAACAGCCCTTGGCCCCGCCCCTGCCGGGGAGGGGAGATTTTCTGCCATTTAGAAAATAAGAAATTCTAAATAGGGGTGGCTACTTGGTACACAAAAGAAACCACCTCGCTTATGTGCGCGTTTCGGGATTTACCCACCCGTGGATATTCTTGGATCATTTCCGCACTGGAATTGAAACAAGTCCAAACCCCAAGAAGCAAAAGAATTGGTAAGTTTGTTGCCAAGCGACCCAACCAGGCTTTGGGTTTGCAATCCCTGAGCTCGAGTTGTTATGGAACCTGCTAAACGGAGTTTCGGTGGCTTTAGTCGTAAAAAAGGGTCGACACTTGTTAATAATTTTGCGACTGTCAGCAAACCCCGAAGTGCTATCGCCCGACTTGGGACGAAAGGTCCTGGAAGGTTTTGAAGATATTTCCAGTGTTACACTAGTGTGTCCAGTGTATTGTAAGTTAAACAAATTGATCACGCACACTTAAACAATAAAGGATTTCGGAGGAGAAGGATGTAAACTGCCAGGGGCTGGTACCAGTGTAGGACCGAGGGGGGAGGGTGCTCATGCTGTCCCGGGTCTGGTGTTTGGAGTTCAATTCAAGCAGAGCTGTTATAAACTCTGAAACTAGGAAAAGCAACTTGATGCAAATGATAGTAATACAAACAAATGCAGTCCTTTGTAGGTGTTTGCATTATTTTTTTTACTTTTTTCTATTTTTTTTTCTGTTTGCATTATTTTAGAAAATTTCTTGAGCCAATATAAAAAAACATGAGGGCACTAAAATATAAATGATGGCCTTTGAATATAACACAATGTTCAAAACAAGAGACGGTTTTTACTGTTGTTAAAAACAAAATTTAGCTGAGGACATTTGAAGGTCTAATTGTTTTTTTTATCCGGCTCACGAATTGCACAGCACCCCACTTACAACTAGAAGGACCCTCAGAGACCTTACAAAACGGAAAGCTTGTGTGGGCGCAAGGATGGGGCAGGAGAGCCATTAGCAAAGAAAAGAAAGGACTTCTCTTTGGGAAAAGAAAGCGCATTCTCATGCACACTGCCTCATCTCTCTCAGGGGGATGGAGAGGGTTCAGGTGACAGGTGACATTTACTGCTGCTGCTTGACCAGAAAATTCCAGACTTGTTCGTTGTGATTGTTTCTGGGAGAGACTGAAACTGCGATTCAATCAGGCACTAAATCTAGGGATTTTAGCACAAGAGACAGTATTTAGGGCCTGTGGTTTTTGTCCCTCAACACAGCACCTTCACGGATGCAGAAGCACACTGTCCTAAAGACCAGGGATCAGTTTGGCCCGTTACTGTATCAGAAAATTTGACATTACAAATATCACCTTGAAACTCATTTTTCTTTTGATGTAGGGGCAGCAATATCTCCAAAAACGTGTACCAACAGAAGTGAATAGAAACTCAGCCAAAGGGATGTCACCACTAGAATAGCCAGAAAGAAAGAGGAAAATCTGTTTATATGAAAAAAAATCACATTGTTTTGTTAAGCAAGTCAGAATCCTAAGAAATACAAAGTAGCAACTGCTAATTGGTACAGCTTTCTTTTTTTACATAGTTCATTGGAAATACAGTCCCTAAACCCAGCTTTCCATAATATAATTGTAATATCAAAACCAAGTAATTGGTATCAGCAAATTAATGTAATCTAGACTCCAGGCTTTATTCCACGGGTGTCAAACTCCTTTTCATCAAGGTTGCCTTCAAAGGGCTGAATGTAATTTGTGGACTGTATACATATAACTGCTCCTTAACTAGGGCCAAGGAGCCCGACATCCGGCCCTTTGAAGGCAGCTGCGAGGCTGATGTGGCCCCCGGTGCCAATGAGTTTGACACCCCTGCATTATTCAGTCTCCTCAGTGTCAAGGGCTCTCATCTGGGCCCCTGAGCAGGTAGCTCCTTGCAATCCGCATGCAGAGGGTCGAGTAACCAGTACGCAGATGCAGATACAAAACTCCCCTTTGCAGTCTCATGAAGACCCACCTCTTCCCTGTCCTGGGGCAGTCACTCCTCTGGGATCGATCTCTGGTTTTGTTATTCCAAGAATGCCAAGTGAATGAAATCATACAACATGTAACCTTTGAAAATGGCTTTCCCCTCCCCACCCCACCCCCATCCCCAACTCAGCTTTAGCCACGTGAGGTCCAGCCAGGTTGTTACATTGTGTCGGTGCGCTGCGTTTTTATTGCTGAGTTGGATACACTTGTATCCAGCTATGAGAATTTGTGTTGTAGGTGTAAGGAACAAGGAACCTGTACAGAATTTTTATGATTTAACTTCAGCCAAAGTGACGACACTTGTCAGGAAAAAAAAAACACCTCAGTAGATTGAGAAAATGCTCCCGAAAGGGGCTGTTTTAGGACTTATTTTGAGCATCAGAGTCAGAGAACACTCAGGTGGATATTACAGGAAACGCACTGGCGATGGATGAGGGAGGCAGGAGGAAGCAAAGTGGGAAACCTCTGGGAGTGGGTAAAAAGTCAAACAAATTGGCATTCCTTTCGCACTTGTGAGTATTTGATAGTTAACATTCAACCATTAACACAATAACAATGAGGGGACCTGTGTCTCCCTGGGCTGCAGGGACTGTGCCCTGAGGGGCCTGGAGGAAGGAAACTGCCCTGAAGTCCAGAGGCTTTGTTACTGTGCAGGCAGACAGACCGCAGGCCGCCTTTGTCAGGGAGATACGGCCTGGGACAGGACTCACTTTCAGATAGAAAGTTTTTCATTTCAGACCATCCCACGTGGTTACTTTTGGTCCCTAAGCTGGTAAGGCCGCCACGCAGGCCTCCCAGGGCTTCTCAGGTGTGGTACGTCCTCCCCCAGCCCCCCAACCACCACCCTTTTTCGTCCATAGTGTAATAACCATTCGTCCATAGATACAATAGTTTCCACTTGAACTATTACAAATAAATCTATTTAAAACTTCTCGGTACTAAGATTTTTTAATTTCTTTCCCCATAAGCAATCACCAGTTTCTGATGTGTTTAATTGAGTACCCTATGCCTCCTACCTTAAATTACAACTTTTAAAATCAGTATTTTCAAAGCTAATAGGTAACTGGGAGCCCATTGGCCCTTTCCAGTCACAGAAACCAGTTTTGCTGAATCATTGGCCGCGCACCAGCGAGTTCGTGCTGACTCTGCTGCTGCAGACCAAGGGCTGGGGGCCAACACCGCCCGCGGAGCATTCCGGAAGGGACCTCAGGTGGACGGAGGGAGTTGGGCGGCCACAGCGCGCACACAAAGCCTCACCTACTACCCGCCCTCCCCACCACCTTCCTTTGGAAACAGATGCCATTTCTTTGTTCACAGCTCTTTAAACTGAAAGTGTAGGTGGCTCTGAAAAGAGCCTTTGGGTTCAAGGTCACCACACGCTGAGAGGACAGCTTACGCCCGCTCCCCGCGGATGCGGCGCGCCAGCTGGATGTCCTTGGGCATGATGGTGACGCGCTTGGCGTGGATGGCGCACAGGTTGGTGTCCTCGAACAGGCCCACCAGGTAGGCCTCGCACGCCTCCTGCAGCGCCATGACGGCCGAGCTCTGGAAGCGCAGGTCGGTCTTGAAGTCCTGCGCGATCTCGCGCACCAGGCGCTGGAAGGGCAGCTTGCGGATCAGCAGCTCGGTGGACTTCTGGTAGCGGCGGATCTCGCGCAGGGCCACGGTTCCGGGCCGGTAGCGGTGCGGCTTCTTGACGCCGCCTGTGGCCGGCGCGCTCTTGCGGGCCGCCTTGGTGGCCAGCTGCTTGCGCGGAGCTTTCCCGCCGGTGGACTTGCGCGCCGTCTGCTTAGTTCTGGCCATAGCTACAGATTGCAAACAAAGTTCACAACTGAAGCCCCTGCTGTTCTGGTTCGTATTTATAACGTCAAAGTCCTCCTGATTGGTCTGAGTATTCAAATTTCGCGCCATTAATTAAGTAACTAAATAGGCCTTGTGATTGGCTACCAGGTCTTCAAAAATCACCTATTGAAAGTGATGTTATTTTTAAACTTAGTATTCCGCCCTTGACCCACCCTGTATTTTAACAGTTTTATGCATTTCTTAAATGGTTTTGCTTAATCTCCTGAATAACTTCCTTAATCTTTTTTGGGAGATTAAGTTTGTAAAGAGAGAAAGGTACATTTCAGGGTTTCTCAACAGTCCCAACACCTCCACGTCTGAATCTAATCAATCCCATCCAGTTTCGTCCTTTAAGAAAACTTCTGAATATGATGTTTTAGTTCAGTACTAACAAGCACCCTGTTTCACAATTTCTAACCTTCCTACCAACACTGGCATCGCTTCCAGACACTCCATTCCCAGTAAGAAAAGTCCGGTCGGTGTGCAAGTGTGACAGTTCTGAGTGTGTAAAAGCTTCCAGGTTGCCAGCCTTGAATAGACCACCCTCGAGTCTCAATAGCATGGTTTTGAGCATATTAAAAGATACAGCTACGTTCCAGCTCCTTTTTTTTTTTCCTAACAGTAGTCACCCAGTGACTAATTCGAAAGGAAAGATACTGGCATGAATTTATATTATGCACTATGTCTTTAGATCTCAATGGAGGAAGACACAAGTGTCATCAATAAATGTGATTATCAAAACATTATTTTTTGCACTGTTGTGCATATGAAAACTTTTCTAAGGGAGGAAGAGTTCAGGGCCACTTCCTCATAAACAGTCAGTGAGTAAGTAGATTTGAAATCACCACGATTGCCTGAAAGGTTGCTACTGGATGATTTCATCCAATCAGTGAGTGTCTTTGGTTAAGCATCTATTTGCATAGAAGCCCTACAAATATAGGCCGGCCTTGGACTCAACTTTCACTCTCAGGGTTTACTGTGAGGAAACGCTGCATCATGCCTGAACCAGCCAAGTCCGCCCCCGCCCCGAAGAAGGGCTCCAAGAAGGCGGTGACCAAGGCCCAGAAGAAGGACGGAAAGAAGCGCAAGCGCAGCCGCAAGGAGAGCTACTCGGTGTACGTGTACAAGGTGCTCAAGCAGGTGCACCCGGACACGGGCATCTCGTCCAAGGCCATGGGCATCATGAACTCCTTCGTGAACGACATCTTCGAGCGCATCGCGGGCGAGGCGTCGCGCCTGGCGCACTACAACAAGCGCTCGACCATCACGTCCCGGGAGATCCAGACGGCCGTGCGCCTGCTGCTGCCTGGGGAGCTGGCCAAGCACGCGGTGTCCGAGGGCACCAAGGCCGTCACCAAGTACACCAGCTCCAAGTAGACTCGCGGGAAGCCGCTTGTCTCCCAACCCCAAAGGCTCTTTTCAGAGCCACTCATATTTTCATAATAAAGAGCTTAAGTGTGGGATGCTGTTGTCGGAGTGGCTGGGACAATTTAGACTAAAATCCTTCTAAAGAAGCAGTTTCTAGAGGTCAGTATTGTGCACGATGTGACCACACACCTGACGAGGTTAGTTTGTGATAAATGCCAGGGACTGGGTGGCAATGGGAACTAAGAGGATCTGTGAAAGAATAACTCAAGCCTTCTGCAAGTTATAGGCTATTTATGGTGCTTTGAGAAAGACCCAGTGGGTTTTATTACAAAGCAGAGGGAAACCTGAAACAGGCTGAGAAGAGCAAGGCCTCTTTGGGGGAGGTTCTGTGCTTGGCCTGTCTCCCCTTGAACAGGCTGAGAATCCACCATACAGTTTCAGCCGTGAATTTTCAAAAGACCCGGATTAACAAGCGGGCAGGTACCTGTGACAGCGGCCTCTGCAGTCCAGCCTCGTGGGCCCTGCAGTGGGGTCAGGGAGCTGGGGCAGAGCCGTCTGCACAGCTGCGTGCCCGGCTTCTCCAAGTGCACTGCTCAGTGGAAGGACGAGGGCTGAGTTCTCCTACTGAGTCTACAGTAAGATTCAGAGAGTGATGGGCAGTAGTGAAAGGCCAGCGCACGGCCCTCAGAGGGCCCGCCCTCCAACATGGATAAACGGTGACCGAAAGAAGAAGGGGGCAGCATCCTCTGCAGGTTAACTCACTGGCCTGAGCTGAATTGACTTAAAGTTTCAGTTTCCCTGGAGGCAGTTCTGGAGGGAAGGTGGAGTAAGGGAAGATGGCAAGGGAAGAGACAGCAAGACAAGAAATACACAATAAAGTTAAATTAAATTAAATTAAATTAAAAATTTAAAAAGCCTGACTGGTGTAGCTCAGTGGTTGAGCGTGGGCCTGCAAACCAGAGGAATATGGTTCGATTCCCAGTCAGGGCACATGCCTGGGTTGCAGGCCAGGTCCCGGCAGGGGACACATGAGAGGCCACCATACATTGGTGTTTCTCTCCCTCTCTCCTTCCCTTCCCCTCTAAACATAAATAAATAAGATATTTTTTAAAATGGTGTTTAAAAAAAGGGTAGGGTTCCAATTTCAACTCATGGACTACCGTTAACAGCAGGTCATGGTTATTTGATCCAACCTTTTTGCTCTATGGCAGGAACGCAGGGCCAGGTACACAGCGTCCCATCTGCTGAGCTTCTTTGCTCCTCAAACCTGGTTCTCAGTTCCGCCCTTAGCAGAGAAGAAACTCACCAGCAGGAAGGAAGGAGAGGCAGTAGCAAAGGGGAGGGAGAAATTTGTGAAATACAAAACCAAGACTCAAGTTGTGTAAATGTTCCATGTTCGCAGTTGATCTGAAATGTGATAACTTGCCCCGCCTCTTTCCCTTCATTTCTTGCTGTATGTTTAAGAATAATTCAATAAAACTAAATAAATCATGGAACTCAGGGAACTTCAAATGGTCTGTTTCATGACCTTGGAAATGTCCAGCGAGGCAGTGGATGTGGAGGCTGCTATAGCACTGAGGTAACCCGCCCTCCTGCCCTGTTATTCCCAATATGCTCCGTCCTCCTCGTGGTTCAGGATGTCTGCTCCAGCTTCAGGCATCACGTTCATATTCTGTCTTCAAAGAAGAAAAAAAAGCAAGTTAATACTCCCCCCACCCCCAGTTGTTGAAAACCATTGACAAAAAATAATGGCCTTGCCTATCTGCAAAGGAAGCCTGTGGCGTTTAATTATTAAATGAGAAAGGAAAACCCATTTCAGGGGACTGGGCAGTCCCTGCCGCATGTCATGCCTACAGGCAGCGTAAGTAAAACTAGAGAGAAAAGTGGTGAGTCCCTAAGTCTTTGGAAGGATGCCGAACCTTCCTAGTACAACACGAATGAACCGTGAATACTGGCAAGAGTGGTTTCCATGGAACATAAATTAATATCACTCTAGAATGAAATGATCATTTTGAGGCGCATTGTGCTTGATGCCACTGGAGTCCAGACGTAGCAACGTGCAGTCAGCACAGGGCTTCGGAAACCAGGAAAACGTCTTAAATGGGGAGGGAGACCTTCAGTGGTCAAACTCATGGATTCTATGAACGAGGCCAGATGCTGTTGGAGTCCAGTGATGGGTTCTAATATGTGTTCCAAGTGCCAAGTCCTCTTCCAACCACGTTGTCTGACAAGGTCCGGGCATGGAGGACTTGAGTTCAAGGAATTCGTCTCCCCAGAGGAGAATGTGGCACCCCAAATGGGTTAACAATTGGCTGTTTTATTTTAATTATTTTACTCTTGCTACTGAATATAGACATTGTACTGTACTTACTTATTCCTGTGAAAATCATCCAAGAGAGAGGGACAGTTCAGGGGAAAACATTAGTATTCCCCACGGAACTGCCTGAAAGGATGGAAAAATCCCCACAGATTCCCTTCTCCCTTATACAGGGGGGTACGACAGCCAGGGTAATAGAATTGTTAACCATAAGGGAAAACATGTCAAGTTGTATAAATTACCCTGGTTTGAGCAACTTAAAGCGATCAGGACCTCCATGGTGTACCAGAAATAAGAAAAACAAGTTAGATCTCTTAAATCAACAGTTAAGGCCAGTTAATAAAGAACCAGGTTATTGTTGCAAGCACAGGTTGTGCTGCCAACAGTTGAGGGATTGGGAGAACAGATCAGAAAGACTTTCCCACGCCTGTTCCTCACCCATAGATACAAAGGGTCTTCCAAGAAGACAAGTAAAAACCATATAGCCCCCTACCCACAGCCCAGGGATACGGTCAGGACGGTTGAGATGCATCTGCAAGGCAGAGGCAACTGTGGCTGGATTTCCTGTCTGTCTCTCCTTACATGTTTGTTTGGGTGACCAGAAGGTGCCGGGATTGTTAGACACCTGCATTTCAGGTTCATCGATTCTCATAATTCCAATGAAGTTGTACAAAATAATTTCTCGACCAGAGAACGAAGTCCCTGTATGTCTAAAAGTTGTTGGAGTAACAGCCCCTCCTCTACCTTGAATAGGAATATGTATTAATTAGACAGGCAAAGAAATAAGAAAAGCTAACTATTACAAATTAAACGCATAAAAACAGTTACTAGAGAGTCAGAGTTTATAGTACACAGAGAAACATTTTAGACAGAAAAGGATAGCTAGCTAAGTTAGACATCACAAAGGCCTTATAATAAAGTTCCTATTATCTCTATTCAATCTAGCATATCCTTTGGCCGCATGACAAATTCAGAGAACTTTAATATACAATAAGACATTCAAATTTGCACATACAGCTACTTCTCATTGTCTGATATATGGCTCTCCTGGTCAAAACAATCTTTGTTTAATATAACTGAATCTATGGGAACTTTTGTACTTTTCCTGGTTACCTTTGTATTGATTTTTTTTCTGCTTAACAGATCATGCTATGCTGCAAATGTTAATCACTACCTAAAATGAAAATATAAAAACCTACTTGTACTTGCAATAAACGGAGCTTCACTGTCCTTTGAGGAGTGTTGTCCGTTAGCCATCGCCAACGCCTTACCCACCTTTCAGGAATCCCTGGACCTTGCTGCGGCTGGACCGAGGCACAGCAGTGTGGCACACAGGGTCCAATCCTCCTGCCTCGGCCCTGTCTTTTATCTTTGTGGATTTTTCTCAACTTGTCTGGAAGACACGCCAGTTGCGGTGGGCCGTCAACACTGAGACCTCAGATCTACATCAGAGTCAAACAGTCTTAGGTGCACATGGCAATGGGCCATTGCTTTAGAGAACACGTAATTCTGTGGTGGGAATAAACACGCAGTTTGCAAATACTTCTGGAGAGAGTCCACAGGCAGGCAGGCTGCTTTCTTGATGAGACAAAAAGCAGCCTTTTAAAGGATAAGTTCCTACAACTGGCGGTCATGAGAATCACTGGAGGGGAACTGGAATCGTCATGGAGGGGCCCTGGGTGGCTCTGAGACTCCGCATTTCCAGCGGAGTCCAAGCAATGCCCAGACTTGTACCAGACTAATGTCCTTGGGGCACAGAACTGCCTTCAGTTCTGCTACCAATGAGCTCATTAGAAATTCTGATGATCAATTCTCAGTAACTTACCAGTAAAACGATGCCCTCCTTGTTCTGTGTGAAGGGACAAGTATTTCACAGGCTTCACTTTTCACTTGACACCAAGATGGGAAGTGACATGACGAAGCGAGCATCAGACATCCCCCTAGCACTGGCTTCTCAATGATGGATGACCAAGTGGGCAGGAGCAAAGCTGGAGGAGGGGTCAGCAGAAAACGCACACCCCACATCCAACCTGTTGTGGGTAAGGCACCCCACCGTTCATCTGTGTGCCAATCTAACCCAAGTTTCACACTTGACCATGGCCCCTTCCCAACTGCCTCAAACCAAGGAAACAACCCAGGCCATCTCCAAACACCGCCCCCCCCCCAGCACACCTGAAGACCATTTGCCTCCCATTTCCCCGTAGCCAGCACAGCTCCTGTTTGCAGGCAACTTCTGCACATAATATACTCACTCGTGGGGAGCCAAGCTGCCCATGAGGGCGTCTAGAGGGGAAACATTGGAGGAAACTCCAGACCAACCAGTCCCACTCACCCGCCACCAACAAGTCAAGCTGGTCAACCCAGTACCTCAGGGGAAACAGACCTCCACCTGAATGTCCCAAGTCAACTTCAGACCAACATCTCGGAACACGATTAAAACTGTAGCTCAAAATACAACCGAATTACAGCTGTTTTGAGGGGGGAAAGGAGGGTGACCTTGAAGAGCCTTTGAGTTGGGCTGAATCAGTGCTGGGAGACCTAGTTCTGTGCTTCAGGCCTGCTAGTTCCTGACAAGCTCCCGTGTTCACCAGAGGTCCTAGGCTAGGGGCACCCACTGCTAGTGTGTGCAAAACTGTGTAAATGCACACTTGCAGTGCAGCTCCAAGGGGTTTCAGGAGTGTACCTTTTGGAGTGAAGCAGGAAATGCTGTCAACACCTGTCTGGAATTTGCATTAAATGGGAGGTCCCTCAGTTTCCCCTGTGCAAGGTATGGGGTCTGCATTGCTGGCAATGACATTTCTCACACACAGTAAAGACACAATTTGCAATTATTTCCAACAAGCTCGGAACTGACCACTGGTGTCAACTGGACCTCACCCCCACCACTTGGTTTTGGGAGCCGATCCCATTCAATTGCTAACAGCTCTTCAAACTGAAAGTGTAGGTGGCTCTGAAAAGAGCCTTTGGGTTCAAGGTCACCACACGCTGAGAGGACAGCTTACGCCCGCTCCCCGCGGATGCGGCGCGCCAGCTGGATGTCCTTGGGCATGATGGTGACGCGCTTGGCGTGGATGGCGCACAGGTTGGTGTCCTCGAACAAGCCCACCAGGTAGGCCTCGCACGCCTCCTGCAGCGCCATGACGGCGGAGCTCTGGAAGCGCAGGTCGGTCTTGAAGTCCTGCGCGATCTCGCGCACCAGGCGCTGGAAGGGCAGCTTGCGGATCAGCAGCTCGGTGGACTTCTGGTAGCGGCGGATCTCGCGCAGGGCCACGGTTCCGGGCCGGTAGCGGTGCGGCTTCTTGACGCCGCCTGTGGCCGGCGCGCTCTTGCGGGCCGCCTTGGTGGCCAGCTGCTTGCGCGGGGCCTTCCCGCCGGTGGACTTACGAGCTGTCTGCTTGGTGCGAGCCATTTCGAGCACAGTGACAGAATACACTGACTTGAAAACAGAAAGAAGTAGGGTTTATATATCCTCAGGAACATTCTGATTGGGTTTGCGCTTTTTCGAAAGTCCCGCGCAAATGAACCATTGGCTGAAAAGTTAAGGAGGTGATTGGTGAATTATGAGAAACTGGGATGAATAGCTCCACACTCCAATCCCTTCTGTTCGGTTCACGATGCCAACCGCCAGGAGTTCACAGAGAAAAGGTGGGTTCTGACCATATGCGTGGGAGATCAGTCTGGTTTGTAGGTCTCCCGCTGTGTTCCAATTGTTTTTGCTTGCTTTCTTGAGTAATAGGACTAGATTTCCACTAACAGGTGAAGTAAAATAAACATTTCCGGGTGAGTTTATACTCCACTTGCAAATAAGTCCATAAAAGTGCGGCTTCATTTCGTGTTGATTTAAGCGAGCTTCATTTCTTGGTTTCTGAAAAGACAACCTAAAAATTCACCATCAAGAATGCCAGCACCAGTAACATTTAAAAAGCCCGCCCTGACGTGTGATTGGTCAGCTGTCACCTCTCTTTTCCATTTCTTTCATTCATATTTTAGACAGCAGGTTTACTTCGGTATACAGGGGGCACGGCGTTTGTACGTGTGCACACACTCCCTGCACAACTGGAACAGGCTGAGGCACGGTCTCCATTCCTACCCCCTGCCACCCAGGCAGCTCCCGGTCAGAACTCCTGTCCCGGCAGAGCTGCAGCTGCCTCCCGTGAGGGAGGTGCCAAAAAACTGCTGTCTAATTGTTTCTAGTTTCTTGGTGTGTAAAGTGTGAGCACCAGCTTCAGAAGCTTGCTGACCTCTTTGTGGCAGTGGAGACAACCTTAGCAGAGTTCAAGGGAAGTACACGTGTGGGTTTAAGCATTTCGGCCTTTTGGAAAAACTAGGCGGTTTTGAGTTCCCTAATGGGGACTGAGTGACAAGAGCTTCACTTTCAACACTGAGGACCTGCTGCACTGACCCTGTGCTCACACAATACAAAATATCTGTGTGTGTTTGACTCGGCGGACTAGCGACTTTGTTTATATTGTTAATCTTCAATGGATACTTTCCCATTTCATGGTGTTTTCATACTGCCATCTACTTGCACATTGAGAAACCACTGTATGGATTATGCAAGCCCTTTTAGTGCCAAGGTGGGTGGCTCTGAAAAGAGCCTTTGGTTTCAACTTGTTGGCGCCGCTGCAGGCTTTTACTTGCCCTTGGCCTTGTGGTGGCTCTCGGTCTTCTTGGGCAGCAGCACAGCCTGGATGTTGGGCAGCACGCCACCCTGAGCGATGGTCACCTTGCCCAGCAGCTTGTTGAGCTCCTCGTCGTTGCGGATGGCCAGCTGCAGGTGGCGCGGGATGATGCGCGTCTTCTTGTTGTCGCGCGCCGCGTTGCCCGCCAGCTCCAGGATCTCGGCCGTCAGGTACTCGAGCACGGCCGCCAGGTAGACGGGCGCGCCGGCCCCGACCCGCTCGGCGTAGTTGCCCTTGCGGAGCAGGCGGTGCACTCTGCCGACTGGAAACTGGAGACCAGCGCGGGAGGAGCGTGTCTTGGCCTTGGCGCGCGCCTTGCCGCCTTGTTTTCCGCGACCAGACATGATGCTCTGATAAATGTACTAGGAAGTACTGAGGACATAAGGGAGGCCCTTCTTATAAACCTTTTTGGGCGGGAAAAAGATACGTCATTGGTTAACAGTGCAGTCTCAACCGGAAAACAGTGCAAACTGGCTATTCTTGCGTTCTGATTGGTCAGAGCCAACTTCTTTGACGTTGTTCTGAATACTGACCAATCAGATACAGGCATCTAACTTATCACCTTATTTGCATGTCGGGTTCTATATAAAAAGGACACGTCGTGCTTTGCTGTTACTTTCTCTCAGCAATTTCCGTTCTCCTCCGACCATGCCTGAACCAGCCAAGTCCGCTCCCGCCCCGAAGAAGGGCTCCAAGAAGGCGGTGACCAAGGCCCAGAAGAAGGACGGCAAGAAGCGCAAGCGCAGCCGCAAGGAGAGCTACTCGGTGTACGTGTACAAGGTGCTCAAGCAGGTGCACCCGGACACGGGCATCTCGTCCAAGGCCATGGGCATCATGAACTCCTTCGTGAACGACATCTTCGAGCGCATCGCGGGCGAGGCGTCGCGCCTGGCGCATTACAACAAGCGCTCGACCATCACGTCCCGGGAGATCCAGACGGCCGTGCGCCTGCTGCTGCCTGGGGAGCTGGCCAAGCACGCGGTGTCCGAGGGCACCAAGGCCGTCACCAAGTACACCAGTTCTAAGTAGACTCTGCGGGGAAGCCGCTTGTCTTCCAACCCCAAAGGCTCTTTTCAGAGCCACCCACATTGTCTCAAAAGATCTGTAATTCTTCAGACTTGGTGTAAAACACCCAGCGTTGTAAAAACTAGTTAAAGTTTCCTACCAGGTCTTATCTTCCCCGTGTAGTTAGTAGAGAATGTATCCAGTTGGGTTGTTCACTTAGTTACTGCTCTAACTAGTAGGGAAGACTAATGGGCAAGGTAGCTTAGACTTGGTTTGCTCTTAATCTTGCAACACCTGGAGGGTCTGTGAGTTGCCCGTTTTCACTTTTTCTCATGCAAGCCCACTAACGTCTCTGCAGATTTCCTCACCGAAAGTGTCCTTGGAATGTTTCAGTACCTAAACAGCACCTCTTGGCCATGCAGGGAATTGTTTGACCATCCTGTAGTGATTTTCACCCACCGCTGGAAGGTAGAAGGGAGGTAGAAGGAGGAAAGCAATGTCCTGACAGTGGAGAGCAGGTGTCTCCTGTTATGCAAATTTCCCGAGGACCTGCAATTCCAATACAGGGAATGACTGGACTGCCTCCAGGGACAGTTACAGGCTCCCCCAAGGGCTCCGGAGCTCCCCTTCCTCCTCCCCGCCCTACAGAGAAGTTGTGCACAGGAAGTTTGTTCTCTTTCAGGTTTGTTTGTTTGTTTTTTTTCCTTTTAAATTTCCTGGGCTGTCGTTTGAAGAGAGAAGGGTTGCAGGTTCTCGCGTCTTTGGGCCGCTCCTCAGTATGTCACTGATTTGATCCTAGTCCCTCCCAGAAAGGGCTGAGTGCTAGCCCCCACCGCATGGAAATAAATACAAGAGAGCAAAGTGCCCTGTGCCTGGTTCTAAGCACTGTTGCCAGTGTTTATCAGATGTTCTCTCAAGGAAGAGGCCAGTGGCAACCACAGGAATGTGGAAACAGGCTCAAAGGGAACAGAGCATTAGAGTAAGAGAAAACCGTGGCCAGGAGACCCACGTGTTCCTGGACACCCAGTGAAGTCCTTGCACAGGCCCAAGCATCTCCAAAATGTATCAAGTGGGGGGTTGGAACACAGGGGGTGCCTGGCAGCAAAGCCACCTTCTCTGAGCACTGGTGTGAAGGGGCATCAGAGGCCACCGGTCGAGGAAACCTGAGCTGAGATACCAACTGCACCTGAGTCTCTGCAAATGCCTACACAGCAGACTTTTGTGACCACTGAGTGACTCCATTTGTAATGGAGCCGGGGAAGAAACTTTCCTGAGGCCCACACATAATCACAGCATTTCTGGCTCTCCAAAGAAAATTTTAAATGCATTTCTAAAACACTGTGTTCTTTCTACTTCTTCTTCTTCTCCTTCTTCTTAGTGTGGCTTAAGGGGAAATGCCGGGGCATGAGCACAGAGAGTCCTCCCAAACATTAGCTGTGGCTAAATCCTCTGCTCACACATTGTTAGTGGCAGTGCCCTGGGTCCTGCCCCCACGTGGTCTCAGCATACCATGGCCTTGAAAAAGCCTACGAATGCTTGGCATCAACTTGGCTTCCTTGTCCGGCAGTGTGGACAGCCAGGCAGACCCTTCCTCACAGTCTGAGCCCCTCCCCAGGGCCATGTCTTTCCCTGGGCTGTGTGCTGAGCCCATGCTGCTGCCCAGCAGATTTTCCAGGAACCATCCTGAGCAGCACTAGGACCAGCGCCACCTCACATCACAGTCGGATGTGTTAGGTTGTAAGAAAGGGTCCCTGGAAGCTCACACAAGAGCTGCTTAGTGATTTTTTTTCCTCCCCACACCTGCTGCCCCCTGCGCCTCACTACGCTGCAGCATCTGGCAAGAATGAACTATCATCTTCCGAAGAGCAGCTACATTTTCAAAGCTCGGAGGCAATTCAAGAAATTATTGTCCACAATCCTTCCCAAACTAGGAAAAGCCATGGCTGCCCGAAAGACCAAGGTAGGGTTGCTAATAATTTAGAAGGCCGCTAAGAATGAACTTGAAAAAAGAAACACTACTACCACCCTGGGTGGATGTGGCTCTCTGGATTGAGCACCAACCTGTGGACCAAAAACGTGCTGATTTGACTCCCAGTTAGGGGCCCTGTCTGGGTTGTGGGCCACATTGGAGCGGTAACTGGTCACCCACTCAGTGTTTCTCTTCGGAAACAATAGAACATTTGTAGCAAAAAAAATTGAATTCAATTTTAATATTAAGAAGGACTTACAACACAGAGCTTATTTTTCTCACTTTTATACAGAATAGTGAAAATATTATTACTAAATAATAATATTAATATTATCCACGGAGGAGCAAGTGGAAACCAATGACTTATACAGAACCCTTCATTTCAAAGTTGAGAAATGCATTTGTGAATCAGCCCAGCTAATTAAAGGTGGGGTTAAAGCAGGGTTCTTGACTATTTGTTCTCAAATTGCATCTAGTTCTCACTTCCACGTATTTTAAGCAGTTACATTCTATTATGCATAGTTGGCACACTTACTGATATTATTAACAGAATTATTATGAAGTAAACTACATAATGGACATTTTGAGCTAACATTTTGTATTTGAGCAAAGCATCCTTTAGACATTTTTCAAGGCCACCAACTCAGTGCACATGAACTGAGGAGGGAAGATGGCTGGATGGTTTGGCACATCACCAGGTGCAATCACACTGACCAACCTGGCCGTGACAGGTGAGCTGTAGCCAAATGAGACAACATGGCAACGT